ACGCCTCACATAAGTAATATAAACATGAATACAAACCACAGCTGAGCAAACAAACCTCACAGGGACGCACCAAAGACAGGATGGAAAACACAGATCAGATTTAAACCGGCTATTCTTTTGAAAAACGTTTATTCTGCTTCACAGACCTGCCAGTGAGAGGTTCATGATGGAAATCATTAATCCTGCTACATAAAACGTGCTGTGGGCTCCCACAGTGGCTTTTTAAACCTAATTTAATCCACTTACAATAAATGTTTTACTCATTTAAATGCAGTTAACTAAAATTCTTTATTCTAATATGATTATAAAATATGCAATCAAAATGATCACACTATTTTAAAAGTCCCAGCTCTCATTTGAGGCTGTAAAACCTCGTTTGAGTGGGTTGATCAGTGATTTGTAATCTTTACTGCTGGATGTAAGCATCCCTGCGTGAATGTGTCTGTTTGTGGGGATGTCTAACTTTCTTTAATATTTGAATTTTATCCGATATGCGAAGCACTTTGTACCTTTGTGTTTCTGTGTTTAAAACTGATACATGTTAACCACGCTGTGTGGTAGATTATACGTGGAAAAATGGAAATAAAGATCCAGGAAACAAAGTTGCGCATTAAGATTTTCCAGAGTTTAGGGAATCATTAATAACCTGTAGGGATTACAATAAGAGTATATGAGGTTATAAAGGGAGCAGGTCCACCGTGAGCCCCTCGGGTGAGTATTTGGGGTCATTATTGAGACTTTTTGTGATATTTACATTTTGCTCTGACATGAACACAACCCCCTGTTAAAGTTTGCTAACGGTCCTGTGGCGCTAACGGTTTTAATAATTAATAAACATCCTTCCTAAACTCACCCAGCGGCTGAATAACGGAATAAACTCTGAAAATAGTGAAAAGGTTTGTGACGTGATGAGCAGCCTTTCCGTAACCCACCCCGAGCTCCACAGCTCCAGCGGGTCACGGTGGTCCGCCCGGCCGATCAGGGGACCCCGCACAGCGGTCTTACCTGGAGAAAGCTTCCGCTGTTCGGCCCACACGGCGCCCTGGAAAAAGGCGAGAGACAGCAGGCGGAGAAGAAAACTGGAGGACATATTGGATGTTTGGACACGGCTCCGTTTAGACTGTAGGCCGTAGCTTTAGTCCACTCTTTCTCCTCTCTTCCCGGCCCTCTCTCTTCACGTTCACCGCTCAGTCGGCACTCGACTCTCGCGATACTCGTCACCTTTTCCGACTTTTAAAAGAAAGTCAACAGAAACCGCAAAAAGCTATCCAGCCAATGAGAACAGAAATGACGCGATACAGCTTTGACGGACAGAGCTGGTATCCAATCAGCACAGATAGTCGGAAATCCACCAGCCAATAAGAGGCAGACATATGGGAACTTTTTTTCTCTTCGTTTTTCGGTGGGCTAAACCACAGAAAGTTCGTGAAAAATGGAGTACGTGAATCTTTGCCACGTCTGAGGCTTTCAGGAGAGGGAGGGAGAGGGAGAGACATAGCGAGGACATGGAAAAACGGAGAGAGAGCGTGCGTCGGCAGAGGTTTTATATAGCTTTAAAGTCGCATGTCTGCAATAAAATCTATAATGATGTTTAATCATTATAATTACACCCAAAATGTATTCATAATTTAGTATTTATTTGCATAATTTATTTAAGAAACAATTAACATTTTCCTAATGAAATATTAACACTGCGAGTTCTTTTCCTGACATACATAGCATGCATGAATAAACTCTCAAAATCGTTTTTCTTTAGCTCTTTTGTAAAAAATCACTTTCTCCCAAATAATTGACTCAAAATATAAAAGTAAAGAACTGGGTGAAGAGACTGCAAACATAGCTGTTCTGTAAATACAGCAATCCAGCATTTATTCTACATTTACCATCTAGTAAGCTAAAAGCATACGTTATTAGAGGGTGGATGTATGGGATGCTCTAAACTCTAGATCACTGGTTTCTTTCTGTGTGTCTCAGGATTTAATAAAACTACAATCTACACCACAGTGTCACAACAAGGGGCCCAACATCTTATTCCTGGTCCCAGTTGATTAACACTGCAGTGTTAATAATAAGATGAGATGAGATAAGATAAGATAAGATAAGACTTTATTGACCCCACGGAGGCAAAATTTGTGCTGTGTTTCGTTGTTCTTGTAACATTGACAATTAAATCGATTCTATTCAATAGGGGGGTCATGTCAGTAAAACACAAGTATAGATGTATAAAAAGGAGGCAGAGGTTTTATAATACCTTTTAAAAACCATTTTCTTTCAAACTGACCTGGTTTTAATTTTCATTTGTTTTAAAGACAGTATTTAACTCTTTGTACTCTTAAACTCTTTAACTCTTTACTCAAGATATGAAAGTAAAGATCTGGAGAAAGAGACAGTAGCCACACTTTGTTAGCAATTACAACAATCAGACATTTAGTTATTGTATTTTTTCTTTTATTAAACAGATTTCAGTCATATCACAGTAATCCCTGGATTAACTAGTGGGAAGTGACCGATTATGCTGGAACACATAGCAGGATGTTTTAACAAAACATGACAAAGGCATGCTATGGAAGAGATCCAGAGATGATTAAATTCAGAATAGTGTATAAATGCACTAGTCACACACACCATGCTTCCACATCATGCTAATTATAGAGTTCCACAGGGTTCTGTGCTAAGACCAATTCTGCTTACATTATACATGCTTTCCTCCAGCCTATGTTATCTGCTTTAAGGTACACATTTGAGAAAGAGGGAGGACATACAGGCAGGGATCCAAGTGACCACACTTTATTTACAGTGAAAGTTTAAAGGTCCAATTTCTTCCAGGCTTAAATCCAGAAAATGTCAATTTTCCCCCAGAATCCACACCAGATTTTGCTCATCACTTTGTGTCTCATAATCTTTAGGGATGGGAATCTTGAAACAGTTGTTTCAAGACTGTGTTGAGCTTCTTAAGCTCATATGTTTCAAAACACTGCACGGAAGCATGGTTCAACACACCCAGGTCACATGACCATGACTTAACAAAGTTTTGATGTGTTTCACTTCAGTTTCAAGAGGTGGTCGAGGAGGTAAGACTCACCTCAACCTCGTAGTGTGTGGAGCAGCGGCTCCCCATAGAGAGCATTTTTCACCTGCACAAATGCCGCCTGGCACTGATCCATCCATGAGACCAGATCTAGGTCAGGCCCACGAACCCAGGCATGAACTGATCATAGTACCCAGGCAGCTCCATGGACTGCCTCACTTCCTTTTTTGTCTTGGGGTGTGTGCGGGATGCAATGGCGGCTTACTTCTCCATCTGTAGACACACCTGCCCTCCCTCCAAGTGGAATCCCAGATACCGTACCTCCCTCTATCCAACTGCACACTTCTTTAGTTTGGCCTTGAGGTCTGCCTGCCTGCTTTAGGGACTCCAGAACCACGGCCACCCGCTGCACATGGTCTGCCGAGGTGTTACTGTGCAGGATCACATCATCGAGGTAGGTCTCAGCATATGCAGCATGCAGCCACAGCACCCGGTCCATGAGGCTCTGGAAGGTAACTGAAATGAGCCAAATTGGTACAAACCGTCAGGGTAGAGAAGTGTCTCCTCCCCAGAGTCAGCGTCCCAAACAGCTGTTCTGCTGCCGTCATTTGGCTGCATGTGATGATCCAGAACTTCTGCCGATGATTTTGGACAGAGAGGCCCAATCTATCCAAAATGGCCCTGCCGATGTCATCGAAGCTCTGCTGTGGGGCTGCCGGCAGGCTCAGAACCTTGGACTGCGCCTCTCCCAACAGCAGCGGTAATAGCTGCAGGCCACTGATATGCCTCTGTGTTGGGCTAAAATAGGGGTCAGCAACCTTTAAGACCCAAAGAGCCATTTGGACCCTGTTTTCACTGAAAAGAAAACACTGGGAGCCGCAAATACTTTTTGACATCTAAAATGAAGAGAACACTGCATACATTGTTTTTTACCTTTATGCTTTGTATAAACCACTATAGTGTGTTGTTTATGAAGTCCACGAAATGCTACAAAGTAAATGAAATTTTATTTATGTAATGAACACATTTTAAACTCTTAAAAAATTTATAACAAAAAAATCAATTTAAATCAATTAAAAAGCTGAACTTAAATTATCCATGTAGCAAACAAAAACTGATCCTTATATCACATTTGGGCTTTCGGAGCATGTAGAACCTTAACCTGAATTTTAAAAATAATTGGAAAAAACACTACGCTCCTAAAAAAATGAATAATAAATATTCGCAAAATCTCTGCATGAATATTTATTTTACCTGGTTACCTGGTACCTGTATGGCGGGCGTGGCCTGCAGTGCTGCTGCAGGAGAGGTGGTTGCGCCTGAGCCACACCGCCTTATAGTCTGTGCTCTCTCTGATGTTGTGTTATGTGTCGGGCTGTGTGCCGGAAAGCTGAAGCCAGCTGCATGTGTACAGCAAACATCGTCGGGTCTGCCGTGGTTTGTTTACAATGGGACTTCTGTTCCTGAACCTCTGCGCCCAGCGTCTGCAGACTGGGGCTGTACGAAGTCACTTTCATCTTTACGCAGGACTGTGAGCTGTCGTCTGTGAGGCGTGAGTGGTTTTTGTTTTTATCATAGTTCATGGTTGGGAATAGCTGCTCAATTATGTATGCGGATCAGAAGATCGACAATCCACAAATTAGGCATACTGGTAGGCCGCTCTCGTCAGAAGTAAATGCAAACAAATCTGCCCAGACAACATTAAATCTTCTTCAGATATTTTTCTTATCTTACATTTCTCCATAATTTACCTACTTGGGGTTGAAAGTCTCAATAAATGCATTGCATTTTGGCGGGTATATACATATATATATACCGGCTTCCGCGAGTGTGACTTCCGCGAGTTATTTTGATTAAATTGTAATATTATGATGAAAAATAATTAAAAAAATAATTTTATTTTTATATTTCAAGATCATGATAATCTCTGTAATCATGTGAGCCAATGTGTGGACCGACTGCACAAGCAGCCATGAAAATGAGTCTAGCCTCTCCTATTTTCACAGCTCGTCTGACTGTGAGTCCCAGCAGCTCTCAGCTGTTTGAATTAGACTTTGTATCTCTGAGTTGTCAGGACGATGACAGCTCTGCTGGATGGACTCTGAGGAGAAACATAAGCAATAAAGTGATGATTCAATGTGGAAAGAACTTTGGAAGATGGTCTGGATCTACCTGTACGATAAGCTACATGTATACATGGGACAGTGGAGTTTACTGGTGTGAGTCCAGAGAGGGTCCCATCAGTAACATGGTTAACCTGACAGTCACTGGTAAGCTGAGTGTGTGGAGTTAGTGTTGATGAAGCTGTGTGTAAATGGATGAAATGCTGTAGTTTGTCTCTGTGTTGAGGTGGATCAGTGATCCTGCAGAGTCCTGTCCTCCCTGTGATGGAGGGAGATGACGTCACTCTGCTCTGTAAAACAAAGACCACTCCCTCCAACCTCCCAGCTGCTTTCTATAAAGATGGCTCCCTCATCAGGAAGCAGCCTACAGGTCACATGACCATCCAGCATGTTTCCAGGTCTGATGAAGGCCTCTACAAGTGTGACATCAGCGGTCATGGAGAGTCTCCATCCAGCTGGATCACTGTCACAGGTGAGGAGCTTCACACTCATTTCATGTCTTATTTCAGCCACAAGTTTACCTGAATAGATGGGATTCTATCTACAGGTAGACCTGCGACTACAGCCCCGCCCACATCAGCACCTTCACCTTCTACCTCACGCCCCCTGCATTTTGACTTCACACTGCTTCGCTACCTGCTGGTGTTCTGTCCATATTTAATCTCCACTCTTCTTGTTGCATCTTTACATCGACAGAGAGCCACAGGTAACACTGACTCATTCACTGATCAATTATTAAACAATCAATAATCAATGAACTGATGACAGATATCTGTCTATAACTACAACTGTTAACATTTTATAGACTGCATCTGTGTTTCTTTTCTGATTTGCTGACTGCAGGGAACAATCCACCCACCAGTGATCATCCGAGCTCTTGAGGTCGACGGATTGGATGAAGAGGATGTCATCAAAGAGCACTGATTGTAAATTTTATCTAAGATTTTGAGGCTCATTCAAAAACAAAGCCTGTGTACAAATCTGTGTTTAAGCCAGGTGTTCAAATAAATTATGAAATAGGAAAAAAAAAAGATTCTAACCCAGAAAATAATGTAATTTAAGTTAAAAACATAAAATAGTAACTGGAAAGGTTCAAGGATTTATCACTTCAAAACACTATTCATCTTGAAGTACTTATGTAAAGACCCGACAAAATGAGCAGCATAGACTGAGTCTTAGGCTACGTCCACACGTACCTGGGTATTTTTGAAAACGCAGCTTTTTCTATGCGTTTGCACCTTTCGTCCACACGTAAACGGCGTTTTTGGTCACTGAAAACTGAGATTTCTAAAAACTCCGGCCAGGGTGGATATTTTCGAAAACTCTGTTTTTGCTATAAAGCGTGGACGAGAAAAACGGAGAAAATGCAGCGTTAAAGGTGTGCGCCTTTTTTGACATCACGTTATTGTTTCGGTGAAATGAATTTCTACAATACTGTTAATTCTACTCTCTGCAGTGTTTAAATGCTTACATACACACAGTTACTGTCCCTCCACACATACGACTGGGTTCTGCTTCTATTCCCCAGCTTTGTTTACTATTTCCCACCGAGGCTTCTAGACTTCTGATTGGCCAACATTTCTACACGGTGAGGAATATATCGCCACCTGTTGCTTTGGCATGTTCATAGCAGCATTTTCCTTCATTTCTGCATTCACGTGTGGATGGGATTATTTTTTAAAACGTCCGTTTTCAAAAATACCCGTGGACGTAGCCTTAATCTTAACATACCTAGAGTTGTAAACAGAAGTTCATATGCACTCTTCATGGGTAATTTTGAGCTTTTAATAATTTCTTTGACTTATTCATTTTACAGAGTGGAATGATTGAACAAAATACATGTTTAATGACTTGAAAATGAATGGTGAAAAATTGTCAGCACTCATTGGACTGACCAATACTACGTACAGTCCAAGGACTCAGTGATGACAGTAAAGATCTCAGAAGGAAAATTTTAAATTTAAAGAAGTTAGGAAAATCTCTTGGAGAGAGAGAAATGGAGCCACATTCCAAGCTCACCTGCTCTGACACGTTATTTGGATGTGTAATCATGTTTGCCAAGGCCTGGAAAAAAACCCAAACTTTGAGCCTTAGTTGAGAGGAAAAAAGCTAGGCCACAGTCAAGTGAGTTTTACACCACCAAGGGTGCTGACCAAGAAAGAAGCGCCTGATCAAACACATTCAAACTGGACAGAAATGTGCAAAAACAGAACAACAAAGCACAGAACTAGTCCTTCATTTGTAATAAAATGGCATGAGTGGTATTCAGCTAGCATTTAAAAAGGTCCAGTTAGAGAAAATTTCTTGAAGTAAAGGACCAAATGATTATAATGTCTAATTAAAGGAGTAAATACTCTTATGGGTCTGCTTGGTCTCTACACTGCACTAAACAATAAGAGGAAACAGAGCCATTCTGAATCCTTCAAAATAAAAACGTTAAAGAAGCATAGAGGCTGGTGCAGATGCTGGATGAACAACTACTGAGTATTAAGGACACTTTAAGGAAAAAAACAGTATTATTGATCAAATCATTCTGATAATCATTTGATCAGTCAGATACATTTGATTATTTTCAAATTGATGTTTCCTGGGTCATTATTTTAATTCGCTGCGGGATGAGACAACATGGTGATATTTACAGGTGGGTAGAGTTGAAAATTTTCATATATATATTACTGTCCGGAGAGTAATGATTCTAACAAATACATACAGTTAATTTATTAATTTTAATTAGTTTATTAATGTTTAGGAAATAAAACCATCCCTATCTTTATTGATTTAATCGATTCAGGTCATTTTTAGATCTCGAGATAAACACGTGTATTTCAATGAACAGAAGCCCCGCCCTCGGCGTCTCTCGCCATGGCAGCGTGTCAACAGCGCTCCATGGAGACGGCGAAACCTGAACCGGGGCTGTTTTTCCGCGTTTCTCCGTGACTTGGACACAGCTACCCGCCTGCAGATGATGGGACGGCCCAGGTACTTCACTCCCTCGGAGGTGGCGGCTCACAACACGGCGGAGGACCTGTGGGTGTCGTTTCTGGGCAAAGTGTACGACCTGAGCCCGCTGATGAGCCAGTACAAAGGTGAGCCGCAGCAGGTAGATTACTGCGTCACCAGTTGAAGACAGGGCAGGCTGAAAAGCACAAAGTGCCTCTGTGAGAAGTCAGAGTCAGTGAGAGTGACTCCTGTTTTTGACTCTTTAGTTACACAACAGGAAAACGAGTTTCCGGAAGTGTCTGTTCCTGCTGCTAATCCACACAGCGAGTAACCAGAAGGAGTTGCACTGTGTGTGTGAGACTTGTGTGTCCGACATGAAGACTCGCAGAGTACAAAGACACAAAATGACAACAAAGGGAAAAAATAAATAAAAAATAATCCCTGAAAACGTGGATCACAGTTTTCCCACTCAGTTCATTGATTTAATCCATAGACTGTATGCAAAAGATGGTGCTTGCTGCATATTGGGGTTTTTTTTTCCTTCTTCTTCTTCTTCTTCTTCTTCTTCTTATTATTATTATTATTATTATTATTATTATTATTATTATTATTATGATGGAGCTCGTGGATGAAATGACACGAGGACCTCAAGTCATTTACTGCAAGAGGCTGCCCTCTGGTGGTCATTTCAGGCATTTCTGCACTGAAGCGTCAAAGACCGATTTAAAAAAAAAGTGTTTTTGCTTGTAATATTTTAAAGACACAACTAATGATTGACTGTAACATCTAAAGATGAACTAGATCAGCTACTGTTTAAATTATGTGTATAAATACATAAATTAGATTAGATGAAAAAGCCGAAGGTGGGTAAATGACCCAAATAGTTTGAAAGAGAATATTTAAACCGCTTGGATGAATTAACTTTGTGTGGAAGTTAATCTTAATATTTCAAGGCATCCTGTTTCCTCTAATAACTGATCGGACAGTTTTACTCTGAAAAAATTACACTTTTAAGCATTTTGATGCATTCCTATAACTAAAGGTGGAATTTTAGTTTGAAAATCAGAGATTTCATAGCATCCTGTTACCATCCCCTATCTAATACACTTTTATTTTGAAAATGATGAATTCTTTTAACTAACTCTAGGTTTTATTTTGAAAATGTGAGATTTCATAACATTCATTACCTTACCTCACCTAACATTACCTTCCAATTACTAATTGGACACTTTTATTTCGAAAACAAAGACACTTTAAAATAATCTTTCCTTAAAGTTGACTCGCTGCTGGAGCCTCAAGTGGACATTAGAGGAACTGCAGTTTTTGTTCCATCAACACTGGCTTCATGCTTTAGACTCTATGATCAGCTTGTTTTGTTGCTGTTTGAAAGCCTTTGTAATGTTAATTTGAAAGAGTATAAGTAAACATCTGTGTAGTATTTCCTCCTACAGCTTTCTTAAAATGTAAGTGGGTTAAAATCAGACACCACTGTGGGAGTTCTCAGGTGGAGAGTATTAAGAAAGATGGTGTTTATGAGGGTAACATGTGTTTCTGTCTGCAGGTGATGTTCTGCTGTTGCCCATCATGGAGTTTGCAGGGAAGGACATCAGCAGCTGGTTTGACCCCAAAACTGAAGACGTGAGTGCCGATCAAACTTACGTGGACTGGTGTTAGACTGTGCAGAGCTTTTCTACTGTAGCACAGACCCAAGAGTTCATTTTTACTACTTAAGCTACATTTATGTCTTAGATTTTACTTCATCTTTCAACTTTAGGCACTTTCGCACTGCTTGTATGGATGCTTCTGGGACCGTTCAGGGGATCAGTGTCTTGCTGAAGGGCATTACAGCATGCTGGAATCAAACATCCTCCTGAGCCACAGTCACACTCAGTCATCTCCTACACCTGTCATTAAGGGCAGCTTGAGTAATAGTCGTGCATTCCTAATCCTGCTGAAGAGTGTTTTCACCTGAATGTACTCGCCTGTTACTGAGTTCTGATTTGGAGAAAATTGAGATACTGTTGTTTAATCTTCTCTACAGGAAGCTTCACTTGAGGTTTAAGCCCAAGTCACACAGGCCTCGAGCCTCAGTCAGCCCAAATCCTTCCAACCTCGAGCAACTTTCAGGAAAAAAAACACTTTTTCCTAGAGACCTGTGGTTTCCATGGGAGTGCAGACTGCTCTCTAGGCTTGTGTGAGTGGTCAGAATCAGTTTCCAGGTCACATAATTTTCTCGTATAGAAAATATAGAGAAATAAAAATTCTTATCACAGTTCAGCTAAAGATAATCAGACAACATTTTCTGTTGCTTTGTACTTGGACAGTTAAAGTAAACACACTTCACTGTTTTCTCCAGCAGGTTTTGCTTTTACTTCATGAGGATATTTCAGTTCTCTGATCTGGAGTCTGTGGGCAGTGGCCCGCCTCAGACCTGAAACCTGAAACAGCATCTGGTGGTTTTATGCTCCTGTGCTGTCAATGTAAAAAGATAGTAAATTAATTTCCCACCTGTCCTCAGATCCTGAAGTACGTGGACCCTCTGACCTGCTGTGTGGCGTACTACACCCCCAGGGGGCGTTTCCTGCACATCCCCCCCAACGGTCCGCGCTCCGACTGGGACAGCGACATCGGACAGCCGTGGTGGAGAGATAGCCGATACGAGGTGGGGCTGCTGTCCGCTAAAACCAGGTGGATGCGAATCATCAACACGCTGACGTCACAGGAGCAGCGGATGGAGGTGAGCACATCACCTCAGCCAGATGCACTTTGGGTAACTGCGCCTTCATGATGTGGTTAACGGTCACAAAGACGTTTAGCTACAAACACAGTGTGTGTCCTGATGCCCTCAGGTGTGCTCAGAGGAGACTCTGAACGAGATCCTGCAGCGCTACCTGCGATACAACTCGCATGCCCGCAGCTACACCTGGAAATACAACGGCGCCGTCCTGGACATGAACAAGACGCTGAGTGAGAACAATGTCCCAGACAATGACCTCGAGCTCGAACAGCTGCGTCTGGACCGAGACGCATTCACCCCCGCCATCCTCCTCCACTACAACGATGACCTCACCGAGGGCTGACCTCTGACCCTGAACTGTGGACTAGAACATAACAGTTATTTTATTAAAGCTGTGCTAACAGGTGCCTTTTCTAACTGTCGTTTGATGAAAGTTTTCACCAAAGAGAGACCTTAAATTCTCTTTAAAGGCCAATCTGAGCTGCACATTAGCACAGATGGACTCCCACAAAGTCACTGGAGACTCAGTTAGGGTTAGCTGAGGCCCCTGATGGCTAACTGAGCTAAGCAGTTGGCAAATTTTGTGCATCAAGAGGCTGATCCAGAGCCAAACTCTGTTTGGTCTATATGTTGTTTCCTTGCATTTAACTTAATTTTACATCTTCTTTTACATCTATCAGTTCAGCCCCTCACATATTTAAACATCTTTAAATATGACGAGATGAATATGAAGAGAAAATGTTGGCCACCCCTGGTTTAAACCTAATTCATTTGCAATTCCTTCAGTGTCCACTCCAGTGAGTCAGGCCCCATAGACTCCCGTGTTAAAATATTCAAGTCTTCAGGTGAAATTAACATGTTTACAACCTTTACAAATAATAGATTTCAGGTAGAATGAGATATATATTAATAACATATAACGTACTACAACTAAAGGCTTAAAAAAGTGGAAGTTAACGTCAGTAAAACACATGTATAGATGTACAACAAGCCTGTAAAAGTCAGACCTGAAGCTTTTTAGCCTCTAGTTGGCGTATCTCTGGATGGCATAACCATCTGAGAACACTGTGAGTAACAAAACCCAGAACGGGGTGTCACAGAGTGTTTTCTTACAGGTCATGGAGTTCCACAGGGCTCTGTTATAGGTCCTTTACTTTTGTTCAGATTTAAATTATAATCTAAATTCACCTGTTTAAATTGTATTAACACTTAAAGTTTCCATTAATGGTAGTGTGGCCTTTTTGCTGCTGTTGGAACATTATGTTTAATGCAAACATGTGACTAAAATTGTACTTGAGACCATCCCCTAAAACCTGGTGAATGTTAATGTGATTATGAATTAATGTCATAGAAAAACGGATCCAGATGGTTTTCCACAGTTTAAGGTGTTTCAATTAAACCATTTAAGGTTTAGATGAACACTGTGTCCCGAGCAGCTCTTGTTTTATATCGAGCTTTGTGTTTATGGTTATCTTGTGTTAAAGTTTAAGACCACATGTCTGTGTTTGTTTGTGATCTTGCATTTACACATAGTTTGAATTTGTGAACACTGTGGTTGATTTTAGGGAAGTTCAGACTGAGGAATGCTTCCCTCCCTGGGAGAAAATGTTTCTGAACAAAAGGGAAATTCTGAGGCTCATTTTACAGAAAATACTAAAATAGGATGTGAGACCAGGAGCTAAATCCTCAAAAATAATTATGATGCGCTTAATAAAACGGGTACTTGCACATAGTTTCTTACTTGGTGGGTGGGAGGGAGGAGGTGATGTAAACTTTTATCTGATGCTTTCCAGCTGATTCTTCACAGGCAGAGCAGAGGTGAGGAGCACTTTATTCTTTCTCCATTATTAGTTTGAATTAGTGTTGATATTTAAGTGAGTTTGGTAGAAAGAACAACTTGATTTTGTTGAGATTAGCATAGGTGTATTTATATACTGAATATCTACATAAATCCAGCTACAGGTGTATTCCTACTACTTTGATCCAATTTATATTTAATACGTTTAAAATAACTTTACGGTTTAACTTGAAAGTAATAAAGGGAGGCATCACCGGGTAGTTTTTGAGACTTTTGTTCGTCTCTCCAAAGGTACTGTAACTTGACTGACTCTATTTTAACCACAGTAAGAGGTGAGCAGAATGGAGGAATCATATTATGAGAATTACTGGGACCAGACGACGCTCTCTCTCACAGGTATCCATTTCATTTAAGTTGGGAATGTCTTGGTTGTAGCGTGCACCTGTAATAACTGAGCGTCTGTCAAGCAGACAGTCCAGCACCCTCATCTGCATCCAGGTTCAGACGGTGGCTGTTTCCTGGTCTGATCGTCGTGGTCCTGCTGATTCTGATCATAGTGATGGGAAGTACCAGTAAGTGCGTGTACACACACACACACACACACACACACACACACACACACACACACACACACACACACACACATTCTAGTTTAGGTTAAATGTGGTGACCACTGTTACTTCTTCAAGTTAGTAACTGAGTTACAAGATTCTAAAAGTAATTAATTACTTGAAAAGTAACTATTGCGTTACTTTAAAAAAACGTTTAACCCTCTGGGGTCCAGGGTATAATTGGCCATTTTTAACTACTTTTGATGTTCCCTCCACATTTTACCTTTAAAAACTATTTACTTTGCCTTGTTTGGTGTCATTCTTTTCAGCACAAACTCACGTGTCTGAATTTACAGTTATGTTTTCATTTTGACATACTGTATTAACACAATTGGTCTAAAATCAGACAAAAAACACAAGATCAAAGTAGAAAAGGTTATATTTTTTACTGTAACAACCACAAACATGTTTAATGATCATATTTCACAACTTTAAATGCAAATGTAAATTGTCAATTTTAAAATCCTATGCACAAGTTTGCAAACAAAGTTATTTACATCCATTTACCTTTTACCTTGATTTTTTAAAATAACCATTTCAAACTATTTACAGATCAGCTGTTCTTCAATAAGATGCCACAAATTATTTGTGCCACTCCAAAAACATAATTTCTGTCCACTATAAAGGAAACATCACAGCCTGATACCTGCAGGTCTGACAGCAGCAGGTGTATCACTCCTGTTTCTACCTGGAGACAGCAGTCGCCTCATTGTTCTGACACAAACACAAAACTATCCACAACACTACACACTAACTACACAAGACAACACATTAACTACAGACTCCAAACACGCTAAACATCACAAATCTCTAACATCTCAAAACTCTCTCTCTCTCTTTCTGCTGTCTCTCTCTCTCTCGCCGTCACTCCTAAAACTTCCTGTTTTTTTGTTGTTTTTATTTTATTTTTTGCTCATAAGCAGAGAGTGCTTGCTAGCACTTTCCTTAGACAGTAAACGTGTGATTATTGACTTGTTGCATCACACGAGAGTGCTACAATGACTCTGGTTTTACGTGGCCTATCAACACAGTTTACAAACTGGTATAAATCACCTTGTTGCTTTGTCTTTAAGTGGTCATGTGATTGTCTTACCACGACTACTTTATTCTTCCTCAGTCAAACAGCAGCACTCATGCGATTGTTTTGCCCCCTGAGCTCCAGGTGTTGTGCTAGACAGTGATCGTGATTACCGTCCGCGGGAGCGCACAGCTGCTTAAAGCTGTAGCGTCCAGATTACTTACAGCCACTTCTGTGCAACTGATATAAGATGCGGTAAGCTGAGCACAGCTTCAACTGTCTGTTTGTTGAAAAATAGTAACGAACGGCGTTTCCTTGTTAGTAACTCTAATGCCGTTGTAACGATAGAAATAGTAATTAGTTAGATTGCTCGTTACTGAAAAAAAAACACCATTAGTAACGCTGTTACTTGTAACGCCGTTATTCCCATCACTGCACACTACCAATATTATAAGTAAGCTCTGCGTTTTCAGTCTGCCTTTTAAAATAGAAATAGAATAGAGTAGTCTTTTGTCCTTTTTATTGTACAACTAAATTCTGGGTGTCCCACATCAACTGTGTTGGAATAAAATATAATACGGCAAGGCTGGGATGGTCAATTTGGTAAAGTAAATCCATTGGGCATCTTTCTTTGCCTTTAGACAATAATTCTGATGGCAAAAGAGCCAAACGGGACAGGCAAAAAAAAAAAAAAAAAAAAAAAAGGAATAAAATATAAATAGTAGAAAAACACAAAAAGGTGCACAGTAGTTGGAAGCACTGTGCCACTGCATATGTGCGTACATGCCACCATCTTGAGCTGTTCATGTCTAGGTCTGCATTTGGGGTCCAAATCCACATGCTAAATCCCACCTCTACATCCATAAACATCCTTCGAGGTCTTTCTCTTTTCCTATATGTCCAATATATCAATGATCCCTCCACTGCACACTCTCAACCATCTCAGCTTTCCACTTCATATGTATTCTTTATAGTCTCTAGTGAAATAAAAACGTACAAACTTTTTCTTGTATGTGCAAAATGATTATTAGAATCAGCATGAGCAGAGTACGTTAGTAGCAAAATCACTGTGACTGCAAAGATGGTTTACAGAATTTTCTTGTAATTGAAAATAATTTTTGATCCTTCAACATGACAAAGAGAAAAACAAATGATAACTAAACTCTAATCACACAGTAGATATTTACATGACATCATCTTGAAATTAAATTATTAAATGAATAGAAAGATAAAAGTCATTTGATTTACAGTTTTTGTTATATTGAATCTTCATTATGTAATAGAGCCAGTTTTTAAAATCAGCTTTTTATTTTATCATCTCTAGTTTTGTTTCATTTTGTTCTTTTAATGATTTTTCTTTACTGAACATTTTTTTATTTTGTCTTATTTTGTTGAGCAAATTTCTTTATTACACTATTTTATTGTATTATAGAGTGTTTAGTTTGCTATACTAGAAGAATTTCCTCTTTTTGGGGATGTGTACAGTTGACCTTGGCCATCTCTTTTTTCAGACAGGAAGATGTCAAATCGTCTGGGGACTTTGGAGCAGAGAGTTTCCAACCTCAGTAAGATCGTCCAATCACTGAACGCCTCACTGCATCACACTCAAGGTAGCACACCTGTTAGTTAACGTCTTTTTGGAGAACACTCAAAAAACAAAAAAACAAAACAAAAACAGGACACAGTTTCAGCACATTACTCTGCTACACTTAAAATCTGAATGTGGTTATCTTATATAGATTTTATACGTCAAACTTAAAGGTGTTTAGATCCACAGCATAACTAGTTATTGTCCCAGTTCTGGGTCATTTTGACCCAGCATTTTCAGTTTCTTGTGTTTTGGTATTCTTCTTCTTCTGTGTTATGATTTATGTTCTGATTCTTTAGTTGTGCTGTTTTGATTATTATTATTATTATTATTCTAGGTTTCAGTTTGGTCCTGGTTATGAGTTTAATTTTTAGGTTTTGTGTCAAGTCTGTGTCTCGATGTGATTTGTTTTCTGTTATACTTTGAAGGTCCATGTCTTATGTCAGTGTCCATTTTACTTCCCCCTGTCGCGTTAGCCCTAATTTCTCCCAGCTGTGTCTCCCTCCTTTCCTATTCCCTGATTACTCCACTGTGTATTTAAGCCCTGTGTTTGCCTTTGCCCTCTGTCGTGTCGTTAATGTTTGCTACCCTCAGTATGCTGTGTGTTTGTCTTCTACTTCTGTTTAGTTGCTCAGTTCCAGTGTTTCAGTTCCTATGTTCAGAGTTTTGTTTTGGTTTTTTGGACGTTTTATCCATGTGGAGTTTTTTCTGAGCAACAAAGCTGTGCTTTAGGTTTAACCTGCCGGTTCTGAGTCCTGCTCTTGGGTCCACTTCTCCGGCCTGCCTGCCACACAGCCTATCATGACAGTTACAGCTATCTGGTACAGGTGGACAATGTAACACTAGATAACACTAGATATTGAAACATATTTAAATTAAAAATGACACATTTATATTAAAACACAATTCACCAATAAATCCCCGTGTGTCCCAGACTCCCGTGCCGTGTCTTCATCCAGTGTCAGTGCTCTGTGCATGTGCTCCTTAGTGTTCGTGTAACCTGTACTTGCTGCCCTCTCGTCCCGCAATTCTCCTGAGAAAATAACAGAAGGAGCCGTAAATACACTACACTGCGACAAACTCACACTCACTGACTTCCAGCTGGGAAACTAACAGGAAGTCTCACAAAACGATCCAGCATCAGAGAGAGCTCCACCACACTGCTAAGTAGCTCCCTCGAAGAGGCTCGATCATCTGCAGGTTTGTGTGAACATCTTCCTCAGGTGTGGCCAGCCACCTGGCAGGGCACACCCACCAGGCCTAATGGTGCCCGTAAACCAGCCTACCAGATGCACCCACACCCATATACACACCCACACACACATACCTGCAATCAGGGAAACCAGTGACAGCCATACCATACATCAAATATACTTATAACAAGTAATATAAGTCCAAAACTGCAGAGGACACCTGGGTCATCAGACCCAGGTCCCTGACACTAAAATATTTATCTCATAAGGGGTTTATGCAGACTTACACTAACAATGTGAAAGTCTAAACCAAACCTCATCGTTTTAAGTGTTCCAGTTGCCAAACATGCTAACATGCTAAGTCTCCTTGTTTCTAGAAACGGCTAAACAAGTTCAGCAGCTCCAGTATGCTGTTGAGAACAACAAGGACCAGCTTAACTCGGGTTTGTCTGCCCCCCTGTAGATTATACTGCTGGTGATGACTCCAAACATCATGTTTAACCTGTGTTTGTGCTGTGTGTTCAGTGTCAGAGGTGCCGAAACAGCTGTCGGTCATCGACTCTCTGAGCAAGAGCATCGCTGCCATCAAATGTTCCCACGAACACGTCATCAACAACAGTGCGTATACCATATTTATATTAGGAAAATACACATCTGCAGACTGACGCTCACACCTGTGTACCTGTTTCTCTCTGTCAGGTTCAACTGCAGGTGGTTGTTGTCCTATGGGTTGGACTGTGTTTGAGTCCAACTGTTACTTCTTCAGCGGTGATTCTCGGTCCTGGAACGAGTCCAGAGACTGGTGTGAAACACAACAAGCCCACCTGGTCATTCTGCGCAACGACAAGGAGTGGGTAAGACCTGCCACACTTGTCACATGATTCAGCATGAAATGTACCAGTCTTTATTTGAATGGTAATGTTTCCTAGTTTGTAAAAATGTGTCTGGTTAACAGCATCTCAACAATTCAGACAGCAGAGACTTCAGAGCCTCAGAGGTGTCAGTGGACAATGTCATGGGCATGGCACACTTTTTAAAACATAATTTAACTCTTTCACCCATAAAGACAACATTTTATTTATCTTTTTTGTGAGCAGGCCTGAAGTAGGACAGAAACACTTAGAAAAGAGCTTCAAAATGACTCATAGATAAAGAGTCGAGGTTTAAGATGTACTGTCTGACATTTTCTGGATTTAAGAAAAGATTTGAAAACTTTATGTGCACACAGTCAAAAGCATCTTTAACTAAGCAAGTAAGTTTTTATTTAAAATGGAAGGCTGAGTCACATGAGGACGTTGTACCAAGGCTAATGTTAACAAATCCACTGCTTAAATGCTGCCCTCTAGAGGTAAAAGTGGAATTTACACAAAGGACCTTCAAGTTATGAATATCCTGCATTTTATTTTATTTTTTTAGTAGTTTGCAGACAAGAAAATAAGAAAAAATTACTTTATACTTCTCTCTGTCCAGGACTTTGTGACCCACAGGAGCATGCCTCACTTTTACTGGATTGGTTTGTCTGACTGGAGGACTGGGCGCTGGGAGTGGGTGAACCAGACGCCGTACACAGTGGAGCCCAGGTCTTAAAAAAAAACAAAACAAACAGATGTGACCTCTCTTCTGTCTTGCATTAATGATATGGAAAGAATCAAAATCAAACAATTCCAGATGAAAGAGGATGAAAATCATAAAGCCATACTGGCATCATACTAGCCAAACCAGCCATTCCAAACTTTTTAAAAATTATTTTCCATTTTTCTTTAACTTATTTTTTTCCATTTACTATTTTTCTGTACTGTGCTTTGTGACTGCAAGTCTGTGAGTCTGCAAGTCTTCCTTACTTATTTACTTACTTTCCTTTTTTCATGTTTCGTCCTGCTTTTTATTGACTTTAATTCCCCAAATGTTTGGGCCATACTCAAAGACACATCATGCCTTTTATTAGTATTTTTTTTTTTCAAATAGGTTTTTCGGAAATTACAAAAACATGCACACATGTCCACAGATTGCCCTTAAAGAGACTGAGTCGACTGAAAAAGAAAGTGATCCAGAGTTGGCGGGAATTTTATATCCGGTTTCCAGCTGCAAATCCCTCCTGTCAGACACTGTAGAAACAAAATTAGCATGTTAGCAGAAGCAGCATTTTCCCTGTGGCTTTACTCAGTGTTAGCACAGCTTTTAGTGCAGAAATGAGCCATGCCAGCTTTGACAAAAGCTGCTGTAACCCTGGAGATGAGAATAGGACAATTATGCTCACTTCTGCATAGAATTTGCTCACAAACATAAGTAATGTATGTGTGTTTTTCCAGGCGGTGGAAACCCGGGCAGCCGGACAACCTGACCGGGCACGGAGATGAAGACTGCGCTCACCTTTATGATGATGGACTCCTGAACGACGTGCACTGCTCCATCAAGATGCAGTTCATCTGTCAGAAACCTACCGTGAATGCCTGAACACACCTGCTTCCCTGGCTTTGCCCACATCTGCTCTCAGATTACACCGCAAAAACATATAATATAATGAAGATATCCCACTTTCTGGACTTACTGCTCTACAGGGGGCGCTCTCCAGCAGGTCCAGAGTTAATGAGGCTATATGGAGCTGTAGAAGAAAATTGTAAAATTGTAGAAAATTTCCCAAGGTGTTTACTTTAAAGACTGAATAGAACATGGACTAAAACTGAGACTGTGGAAAAACAATAGTGAGAGAGACCTGTAATTGCAACACATGAGCTCTTTAATGAGCGTCCTGATGCCCTCAGGTGTGCTCAGAGGAGAATCTGAGGAGATCTTCCAACATTACCTGCACTACAACTCTGACGCCCAACGCTACATCTGGAAATACAACAACAACAGCACTGTCGGGACATGAAGATGCTGAACGAAAACAGCGCTCCAGTGAGATCTGCTCAGCCCCGCTGTCTGCCTCCCTCTTAAATGACAATCTCACTGAGGGCTGACCTCTGACTTCTTGAATGTTGGACTTTCACTTGGTCATGTAGTTGGGTTTTGTTTTAGCTACATACTAATGAGGAACTTTTTAGTCAAAAAAAACCTACGATTTGAATGAATACAATTATGTATAAAGAGGTTAATGTTAGCCAAACCCTACCCCTAACTCTAAATGGGGTCCTTGTGACCAAGCATATGCTAGAACATGACGTTTTTTGTTTTTTTTTTGCTATTTCTAATCATCTGTGGCTGCACATTTGCTTTTCTTGTTAGTTTGCTTTAATCCTTTTGGTCATCATGCTGTATTGTGCACATGTGGGTAAAACACACATCAAGGGCTGGACTAGGCCATGTAACATCTCTGTAAGGTGTTTCATCAGTGCCAAATAATTAGCAAGATCTAATAATATTTTAACAGTATTTTCACTGTAACCTTTAACCATGCTTCGAGTCAGTTAACCATGATGTGGTAATTTTGTAAACTTATCTAAGTCTGTGGTCCTGAAGTAGAAATGCTGTCCACTCCAACCTAGGGGACGAACCTAGTGGACAGTTACCCACAGACTCTCACATTCAAATGTCCAAGTTCAAAGCAGAAATAAAAAATGTTACAGCCTGATTACAAAAAATAGTTTTGGTCTCTATATCTACACCCCTGCTTTATAGCAACAAAACGTTTTTAAAGCATCTGAATAAAGCCGTGTCAGTGTCAGATGTTATGATGGTATTATCGTCACACAGATTGCATACAGTTTTTGTAGGTTTTGGTTGATTTTGGGGAAGTATCAACTGAAAAGTGGCGCTTTGGCAGGGAATGGCTGCCTGTTTCTCATTAAAAAGGAAGTTTTGAAAGCAACTTCTGTAAAACTTGGGCTGATTCACTTTAAAATCTAACGAATAGGATGATAAACACGAAGCTAAGACCCCCAAAATGTTGTGACATACCCGTAAAAATGATGAGTGAGTGTTTTCACACAGCTAGTTGCATGAAGGGCAGGAAGGGGAGGAAATATCAATCTTTATGTCTGAGAATCCCTGCTACTTCAGAGGCAGAACAAAGGTGAGAAACTCTTTCATTATTAATTTGTTTGTAACAGTGTGAATTGGGTTTGATTTTTGAATCAGTTTAGTAATTTTAAACACAGCTTTGTATATTTATTGAAAATATACATAAATGCAGTTAGTTTACATTTAAACTGCTTTGGTTTGATTGTTTTCAACATAAAGATTCAAATCTATAACAGGTTAAATTAAAATGCAGAACTGATTCTTTATACTTTGCTTCCAAGCAGCAAGACTTTAAGATGGTCTTGAGCAGAAGTTCTCCAGGCTTTCTTAAGGTCTTTTTTTTCCCCATTGGCTGCTTTTTCACCCATTGTCAGTCCAGTTCCTTAATATTTTCAGCATAGACCGCATTTACCGATGGGGACATAAAGAACTTCCATCTTTGGGCACATTTTCAGGCTCAACAAATGTTGCTGACCTCTATAATTAGAACAAGAGTCTAATGAACCTAGTTTGAGGTTAGGATAGGGGAGCATACGAGACGTGTACCCTGTAACTCAGACTATTTCAGGAACAGCAGGTCCGGGGGAGGTTGAGGTCAGGAGACAACTGTCTGGACAAAGAAGTGGCAGGTCTAAAAAACAACAAAAAACTGTGCTGCAGATAAACAGTATCTGAAAATCAAATCATTGAGAAAGATGAAAAAATTAAACACTTCATTTTTCAGCATGACAACGATCCCAAGCACACTGTTAATGCAATAGGATTAGAATAGCTATTTTTTGAGAATCTTTTTGAGCAGATTTCTTTGCTTTTTTAAATTTCTTATTTAACCAGACTAGGTGGCCGCGATGTCTGACGTACCTTATGAGAATAATTGGGACAACACTGCCCTCTGGACCAAAGGTATCTGTTTGAGCTTGAGTAAGCAACTTATTTGATTTTAGGATTTTAAGATCTACTTGTGAAGCAGTAACTATGTCTGTCTCTGTCTGTCAGATTCTCCACCGCACTTCGTCTCACCGATGTCCAGGTTCAAACGCTGGTTATTTCCTGGTCTGACTGCTGTGATCCTGTTGATTCTGATCATAGTGCTTGGAGTTACCAGTGAGTATATAACAGACACATAAACAGAGATTTCTTTATGACTAATTTTACTCCGCTGAACTTTTTGTGATTATGCTGATATGCTTTGTAAGGCTGTCACTTTTATTACATTACAGGCTATGCTCACTGTTTTAGTTACTATAACACAAGCTTAGCTAAATATTATTTTTATTTGCTGTCGTTTTGTGTGTTCAGACACGAAGACATCAAAATATCTGTGGTCTGTGGATCAGAGAGTTTCCAACATGAGTGACATCATCCAGTCATTTAACACCTCACTGCATCAAGCTCAAGGTAAAATGCCTGTTAGTCAATGTCTTTGTCACACATAGTATTAGAAAACTAAATGTGGTTAGTTCATATGTAAAGACTTTATAAGTCAGACTTTCTAAGTTAACAGATTTGCGGATTTGCAGTGTAACCCACAACATCCAGAATTTTATGGCTCCCTAAAGACAAGACCTACTCCAGGTCTTTCCAGTCATTTGGGATAACTCGGTCTGACCAGCAGCATTCATCTAATCCAAGTCACCAGAACGTAGTGATCACTTTACAGTGCTGCTTTTCTCTCTGAGAGTCTAAGACATAAGATCAGAATATATGACAACAAAGTTAATTACTGACCCTTAGCCTACGGCGCTCAACCACCATATGCACTTATGAGCCACCTTGAACATGATGTTTGTGATGCCTGGTACAGAAGTGAAATAACAAAATACCAGTCTGGTTCAAATCAGACTGGGTAGTGCTTGCAATCTACAGGTGTCTACTATGTCACCCACATGAGCTTTTAAAGGCACCACGGCGATTTATGTAGTCCCCAACAAGGACTGTAGGATTCGATCAAAAATTAACCAAGAAGATTTGGTGTTCTCAACTGCTGCACAAGTGCGCACATTCAAAAGGATTACCCTCTGTGAGCTAAATGTTCATAGAGGTGACTTTCACTTTCTGGGACTGTGATTCCACAATCCTTCCTTTAGAAAGAAGTGAGGCCAAGGTCTAGTGATGGTGAGATGAAGCCTCGTGATGAACTGAAGCTTTCCATCCAACAGGTCGACGGTCCAATATGGTTCCAAGTATTGTGATGATTCATTTGCTCTACTGCGCCATCAAGTGGACGATTCAAGTGAAACAGGCTCTGTGATTATAATGATGTGATGTGTAAACCTCTAAACTAAATAAATAAATTGTTTTCATAGTTATTTATCCCGAATATTGTCTCAGTCTGATACAAAAGAGAAAGTGGAAACTATCAGGACAGAATTTTTAACTGTGTAATCATGCTTATATCTACATCTGGATAACGACACAAACTAGTGTGTGGCGCTTCACTTTTTAATAAACTAAAAGACAGAAGTCAGATTAATAATCAAAACTCCCCCGAGATTACCCGACACATGCTTCGAAGCTTCGGCACACAGGACACATCACTACCAATGTCACTCCACCTTCTTAACAAGGTCAGGTTTCTTCCTTACGACTGTAGTGATGTTCCAGATACAAAAAAGTCTATAATTCTGAGGGTCAGCAGGCCAATTGGTCTTCGCTAAGGCAAACCCCATCGAGGTCTAACCCCCCAAAGCTACCAGTTCCCTTGAGGCCCCGGTTAGCCAGTGCTGTCTCAGTACTAGGTGCTTTTAAATAGCTGCCTTTCACCTATTCCGTTTCATATTAAGACACTTTGGTTTTCCCATAGCCCTTCTGTTCCTTAACAACATCTTATCTGAAGGATTTTTGAGATATTCTAAATTAATCAGTGAACTAGCCACAGTGTCAAATATGCTAACATGCTAAATCTTTTTCTTTCTAGAAACAGCTAAACAAGTTCAGCAGCTACAGTTTACTGTTGAGAACAACAAGGACCGGCTTACCTCAGGTCTGTTTGCCCCGCTGTAGATTTTACTGCTGGTGATAACTCTAAACATCATGTTTAACTTCTGTTTGTGCTGTGTGATCAGTGTCGGAGGCCATGAAGCAGCTGGCACTCATCGACACACTCACCAAGAATATTGCAGCCATCAAATGTTCCCTTGAACACATCATCAACAACAGTGCGTTTACCATATTTTACCATTTTACACATCTGCAGACTGAATTTCACATCCGTGGTAACTGTTTCTCTCTGTCAGGTTCAACTACAGGTGGTTGTTGTCCTGTGGGTTGGACTGTGTTTGAGTCCACCTGTTACTTCTTCAGCAGTGATTCTCAGTCCTGGACTGGGTCCAGAGACTGGTGTGAAACACAACAAGCCCACCTGGTCATTCTGCGTAACGACAAGGAGTGGGTAAGACCTGCCCACACCTGTCACATAATCTACTATGAAACACTTTTTGCAATATTGTGCAATATTGTATTGTACCATAAGATGGAGTAGTGAGTCAATGTAATTTTTATTTAAACAGCTTAGTCATTAAATACAAATTCTTATTTGCAAACATATTCTGGGAAAAGGCCTCCTGTTGAATATTTATCTCTGTCTTAGCAGAGACAAATATTCAAAAGAGCAGGAACACATCTCACAACAAATTGAGACACACACACACAAACAATAATTTTTTGTTTGTTTGTTTTTTTCCAAATGCCGTCATTGTTTCTTTATCCAGGACTTTGTGACCCGTAATACAATCCCTCAATTGTACTGGATTGGTTTGTCTGACTCCAGAACTGGGAGGTGGGAGTGGGTGAACCAGACACCATACAGGATTGAGCGCAGGTCTGTTTCAGTAACAAAAAATATAACTTCTCTGTTATTTTCTCCTGTCATGCTGCATTAACTGTGTACGGCCACTTAATATCAATTAACTCGAGACACAAGGATGAAAATGACTATTTCTTGCATTTATAAAATATTCTCTAACCTGCAATTTAAAACTCAAGGTCCAATTAAAAATCTGAAAACTTTCTGTTACATTTTCTCCTGTTTACCTGTGTTCCCCTTGATGAATGTGCATTTTCAGGCGATGGGGACCTGGGCAGCCTGACAGCTGGACTGGGCACGGTCTTGGAGGGGATGAAGACTGTGCTCACCTTCACAGTGATGGACGCCTGAATGACCACCACTGCTCCGCCAGGTTCCGCTTCATCTGTCAGAAACACAGCCTGAACATTTGAACACATTCGTTTGCCTGGCTCCGCCCACAAACTGCTCTCCAACTACTGTTGATTACAAAGAAAATTTCATAGTGGGGCGCTGTTGAGCTTGGCCAGAATGAATGGGACTCTAAGGAGTCCATGATTTACAGGTTGTGTTTTTGTTGTAGTAAAATACCTTTCTGTGAGTATTAGGGACATCACACCACCAGGTCCAGTTTATCCCAGATCACGAAGCCTAACACTTTGTGCTCTTTAGCTTCACCTACCACCATTCAAACTGAACAGGCTTACTGTGTGCATGTTTTAGATAGTACACAAGAGTCACTGTGATGTCACACATTGATTATAGACTCACTATGTTGGGTTTTCGGTGCCAGAAACAATAAACAGACTGGGTGAAGTGTTAAGTTATCAGTTGTCTGCATCTCACACAACTGAAACATAAAAATTGTACTACAGTTGTACAAACAATGCTACAATGTAAACCTAAATAAAAAGTATCCTTCCATCCATCCATTTTCTTCCACTTGTTCTTGTCAGGGTCGTGGGGTGGCTGGAGCCTAGCACAGGGCGAGAGGCCGGGTACACCCTGGACAGGTCACCAGTCCATCGCAGGCCTAATACAAAGAGACAGACAACAATTCACACTCATATTCACACTTAAGGGAAATTTAGGATCACTGATTAACCTAACCCCACTAACTGCATGTCTTTGGACTGTTGGTGGAAACAGGAGTACCTGGAGGGGTGATCAATAATTGAGCTCTGTGGAACTCCACAACCTGTGAGAGAACACTCTGTGATGTCCCGGCGTTTTCGGTGGAAGAAACACATCACGATGAACACAATCAATTTACTAGATCTTCCTTGCGAGGATGATTCAGACTTGCATCAAGAAATTCTATGTTTTTTCTTTAGGATTTCTCGAGTTTTGGCTTCTAATTTCATTTTGTTGATTTCTTTTGTTGGGTTTCTGATGTTCTTAGGTTAACTCAGTCTTTTTTTTGTCCATTGCCTTTGACCTCTTGTCTCTGGTCACTTCCTTTTTCAACGTTATTCTCTGATGCGTCTTGTTCTAGATGCACTTTGCTTTTTGTTTCGCTCTTTGCAATTATATGCCCTGCTCTCATTGTCTCAACCTTTGATTGCTCTTGCATGTGCTCTGTCCCCTCCACCATCTGATTCCTCACGTAAACTTTAGTTTACTTAAAGAAAAAAAAAACTTGCCTTCTTTGTTTTTGTAAAATTGTTTGTCAATATTTTTTTCAGCTTGCATGCTTTTTATGTTGGATGACCCGAGTCTCCTGACAACTTTTAGTTTACATTTTCAATTGAAATAAAGTTGCTTTTACACCCAGAGTACTTCCTCTGTTTGGGTCATCTCTCCTGAATTATACTGAAACTTTCAGTGACTCCGATACAGTGAAGCTTTTAGTTCACTTGTCCCAATAATATTTTATTCATTTATTGGTTTCACAAGGCAAAACATATCTACTTACAGTGAGCATATGATAAATCTGATGTAGTCCATGCAATGACACAACCAATCCTAACAGCTGCAGGTGTCTAAAAGGGAGTTTTTCCTTCCCACTGTCACCAAGTGCTTGCTCAAATGAGGTCGTCTGATTTTGGGGGTTTTCTCTATATTATTGTAGTGTCCTTATGATATAAAGTGCTTTGAGGTTGTTGTTTATTTTTCCAGTAATTTAAAATAGGCACACCAAGCTCAGCAAATGGAAGTTCCTATCTATATCAGATATTATGGTGTCATCATTTTGCATAGCAACAGCATAGTAATGGCTGAAATTTTGTACTGCTGTTTTGCAGTCATGCACTTATAAAACTTCATAAAAGCATCATCTCATAGTTCTACCCACAAGTTACAGCCACAAAATGTTGAATTAACACTTTCATGCATGAATTATGAAAACCTCAATCAGGATCTTTTTTTCTTAGGCATTTTATTCATCTTTAGGCATGAAAAGATGAATAAAATACTTCAGAAAAAATCATGGGTGAGGGTTAAATAACAAAAATTACAATGAAACACACCATACATTAAGTGACACATCAGTGTCCAATATGGTGGTTTATGTGCTAGTAGACCATCAACACTGACACAAATACAAGAAAACAGCCTTTGAATAACTGCCCACTGTAGTGACCACTATGTGTGAAAGGGTTAAATATGATACAAAATGACCCCATTACACTGCCTGGCAAACACCTAGCAACAAGCTAAAATGGATCAGTTTCAGCATTTATTTATCTACAACACCTTATAAAAACGTGTCTTTGAAATTTTAAAGCAAACAGTACTTCAACATGGGCATGTCCCAGGGAAGCAAAAATATTAAAACCTGTTATTAAATCTTTCGTTTTTGATCCCAACCTTTTCCAAGGCTATTTGGTGGGAAAAGGTTTGCAAATTCACCACATCTGTCATGCCAGATGTTTAATTACCTCTTGTTTATCACAACTGTAACTCCAAAAAGCGGGGAAAGGGAAATGTGCATATCAGTGTGACTATCAATGTTTTGTACATTAGTTATTAGCCCTGATAGAACAGGATTTTTCCTGTAAAGGGTGAGTTTTAAAAAGTGCACAATCAGAGTTCACTCTGAGATGAAGGCATTTGTCAGGCTGCTGAGTCAGCTGACAGTTTCCTACCAGCATAGATGGATTATCTATGAGCAACACTTTTGTTTGACTTTTGAAAAAAATACATTTTTGTTTTATATATGTAGACATTGAATAAGAAACTGCTTCAATGGACTGCTTCATCGTTAATGGTCGCAGGGACATAAGAACTGCGTATTTAAAAAAGCAACCAAATCTGAAGGAAAGCTTAAAGGTTTTTGTGACTTTTTAAGTTTAAAAACCGAACCTTTCTCTGCAGATTAAACTTACATTGCAAAAGAAAAAGTTACTCAAGCATGTTAGCGTCATTAATCAAGACTACCAACACTATAAATTAATCTGTGTATGAGCAGATACGGCTGCCTCCAAACACAAACTTTCATAACCCTTCGATGTGAATTAGTGCAAAAAAAAAAAAGACAATCTGCTCTACAATTGTCAGTTTTAGTCTTATGATTTCATGAATGCAACAAAACCTGGTATCACTGTATTGAACATGCAAAGTTAGAGTGTTTATAATCATCATAATGATCATAAATACAGTAAAAGATTTTAATTATTTTAGTTATTTTTTTGTGTGTGAAAGATTTAGGGGTGTTTGTGAACTTTAGTGTTCTGTTTTTTTTAGGGAAGCAAAACCTGCCCAGGTTTTGCTTCATTTTATAGCTGATTCAGAGCTGATTCAGAATGAACAGCATGTGCAACAGAGAGCTGATATTCATGACAGCATGGAGCCAGATTCACTTAAAATGATCATAAATATACTAAAAAACTGTAATTGTGTACAGCTATACAGATGCTGGTTTGTGAGATACAAATCTCACAGTGATGTTAACAAACTCTTGTTTTTTCGTTTACTTATATTTCACACTGTGGGCCGTGTTACCTTCAGTTTAAAGCTCACTATATGATTTTGTGACTCCATACAGATTTATTTGGTCAAAAATGTCTGATAAAAGTAGCCGACCCCTTCACACTTTGTGCTCAATGATGCTCCTGAAAGCCAGCATTAGCTCTGTGTTTGATGTGACTGACGAGAGCAATTTTTTTGTGTGAAAGGTAGAGCAGTGTGTGTGAACTTTAGTGTTCTGGTTGATTTAAGGAAGTAAAACTGACAATAGATTCCCTTTCTGGAAAACCCCAAAAAATGTCTTACAAGTTGATTCACAGGAAAAAATAGCACGTGCAGCAGAGAGCTGATGTTATTGGTGGCACGGAGCCAGATTCACTTAAAAAAAAGATAACTGGGCATTCAAACTCAGTTCTGTATTTCATGGGTGGGACAGAGGAGACCATATATATTTTACCATCAGGGGAAACAGACGGCATATTCTTCTTCTCTGGTCAATCTACAGAAAAAAGAGGTGAGAAACCCCTTCTATTTCTTATAATGTCCAAATTTTACCCTCACAGTATGACTATTTTCTATCCTTAAAGTAAAGGACAGAAAATATTAATATTTTTAACACACATTGTGTTAGAATTTGATTCTTTTTAGTTTTTTGTCTTTTCCCATGCAATTTTGTTTCTTCGTAACTACATAATTATGAGATAAAATTTGTAAAATTTGCAAGGCTGCAATAAACACATTTAAATTCTCTCCAGAAGTTGATTCTGTTCATCTGGATGTAACGTTTTCAGTGGGAGAAACGTTTTGTCACTCATCCAAGTGACTGATCAGTGGTTGTTGATCAATGGTCATGACAATTTGCATAATTATGATTAAGCAACTGACCTCCCAGCCCATTGTTCCTTCAGTGGTGCTGGTTTTAGTCATTATGCAAACGTCTATAAGAAAGTAAGTAAAATGTATTTACATAGCACTTTTTAAAACAGGAAGTTATTTCAAAGTGCTTCACATGGTAATAAAAGCATATCAAACGAAACAATAAAACACTATAAAGAGGGTATAATAGCATAGCCAATAAAACAGCATACTACACATGAATATTACCTAAATGCCTGTCTAAACAGATGTGTTTTTAGCTGTTTTTTTTTTTAAAAGAAGCTACAGAGTTGATGGTGCGTAGGTAAAGGGGAGGTAAACTGTTCCACAATATTGGAGCCAAGGTTTTAAAATCGCGATCCCTCTTGGTTTTCAAACGGGTCCATGGAATGGTTGGAAGACCCTTATCAGTGGATCTAAGGATTTGGTTTAGAGAGTACGGTTGGAGAAGCTCAGTGACATAAGTGGGGGCCTCACCAAGTAGGGACATGAATGTAAGAGTAAGGATTTTAAACTGATATCTATACTCAACCGGAAGCCAGTGCAAGCCTTAGACCAGGGGTGGGCAATCTCAGTCCACGAGGGCCGGTGTCCCTGCAGGTTTTAGATGTGTCCTCGAACCAACACAGCTGATTGAAATGGCTAAATCAGCTTCTCAACAGGTCCTGAAGTTCTCTAGAGGCCTGGTAACGAACTAATCATGTGATTCAGGTGTGTTGACCCAAGGTGAGATCTAAAACCTGCAGGGACACCGGCCCTCGTGGACTGAGATTGCCCACCCCTGCCTTAGACAGACAAGAAAAGACTGTGTTACAGTATGAGAGGAGATGAGGACATGGACAAGCATCTCTAAGCATCTCCAATGAAGTAGGTAGGACATCAACTGGACTCACTGAGGGTTTCATTTGGGTCAGTATTTCTGATAGATCTTCTAGAGAAACTGGGTGAAAGGTTGGGGAAACCTGCAGTCAGCTGAGACAGAAGTCACTTGGATGAGTGACGAAACATTTATGCACTGAAAACGTCCAGATGAACAGAATCAACCTTTGGAGATTAACTTAAACTGGATGATTGCATCAAGACATTAAAACCCACTTCAGCTCACTCCATGCTAACATCGACCAGGAATTTCCAAAAGGGACTGAACTTCGCAAGCACGAGTTGGCCACTTTGAAAAGCAGATACAGTTTTTCCAAAAATTTACGAAGCGGTCAGAGACCATAACGCTCGCATCCTATCAGCTGGCTTGGAACATTGCACGGGCTAAAAAGCCACACAATGAAGGGGAGTTCGTTAAATATGCCTCAGTGACGTTTTTGAAATCTTGTCTCCTGAAAACGACAAATTAAAACGCATGGTATCAGACGTCCAACTGTCCCGCCACACTGTTGAACACAGAATATCGGACATTAACACGGCTATTGAATCACAGTTGCACTCTGACCTTCAAGCATGTGAGTATTTTAGTGTCGCATTGGATGAGAGTTGTGATATACAAGACAAGCCTCAGTTGGCAATATTTGCACGGTCTGTGTCAAACGATTGTGTGATCAAAGAAGAACTCCTGGATATTGTGCCATTAAAAGACAGAACCCGTGGCATAGATGTGAAAGAAACCATGATGGCTGCATTTGAAAAAGCAGATCTGCCCATAACAAAATTAACTGCAATAGCCACGGATGGAGCACCAGCCATGATGGGATCTGTGAACGGGCTTGTGGGGCTGTGCAAAGCTGACCAAACTATTCCTGACTTTTGGAATTTCCACTGCATCATCCACATGGAGCAACTCGTGTCTCAATCATTGTATTGTCATGAAGCCTGTGATGGAAATCGTCAACTATATCTGCACATATGCGCTTAACCACAGGCAATTCAAGAATCTCATCGCTGAGCTGGACCAAGGGCTTCCAGGTGACCTGCCGCTGCACTGCACTGTGAGGTGGCTGTCAAAAGGCCAGGTACTCTCTCGCTTCTTTGAGCTTTTGGATGCCGTGAAACTGTTTATGGAAAAGAAGGACAAGGACTATCCCGAGCTCTCGGACCTCAAGTGGATTATGGATCTGGCCTTTTTGGTCGACATGCTGTGTCACTTGGACAGACTGAACCTGACCCTGCAGGATAAGTTAAAAATGCTGCCTGACCTGGTGCAAAGTGTGTTTGCGTTTGTCAACAAACTGAAGCTGTTCAAGACACATATTCAAAAGGGAGATTTAACGCATTTTCCCACTCTGCTAAAAGCCAGCGGGCAAGTCGCCAGTGCTGCCCTGAGTAAGCAAAGAGCCAGATATGCAGCGCTGATTGAAAATTTGCACGAAAGCTTCGTGACCTGGTTCCATGATCTACAACTGAAAAGGCCACAGGTTGAACTGAGAGTTTGTGTGTGTGAGACAGTGCACACAATGTTCATTGTTGAAAATGACTGGCCTGTGGTTTTAGTACTGTAGGAGTCCATTTCTGTCATTATCATGTTGGTGTGTGTGTGTGTGTGTGTGTGTGTGTGTGTGTGTGTGTGTGTGTGTGTGTGTGTGTGTGTGTGAGAGAGAGAGAGAGAGAGAGAGAGAGAGAGCGAGAGGCAGGAAAGGATGGGTGATGTTCATGTGTGCCCATGCGTATGATGTGGCTCTTTGCGGTAACACAGTAAAAAAAAAAGTGGCTCTTGGTCTCTGACTGGTTGGCCACCCCTGTTCTAAAGGCTCAATCTGTTTTGTTCTATAGCTGACTCTTCTTGGAAGCAGTATCATAGTCGTAATAACAAATGTATATAATACAGATGGTAATGTAGTTGATGCAACAGATAACTTCATACCATATTTAATGAAGTCATCCTGACTTTTATCTTCCACACCCTCAAAGTGGATTCAACCCTGACTCGTGATTTTTTAACCACCTTTTTCCTTTTTTTTCTTCCTTTTTTAAATTATATTTTCATATTATCATAATTAAAACTGAGCATGTTGCTGATAAAAAGCAGCTGAATGTGGAAGTTGTTGGTTACTTACTCACTCAGTGTTATCATGGTTTTATTATCCAGTAAAAACAGCAAGCAGATGACAACAATGGACCAATACCATTATGTGAAGGACCAGGATGGTAGTACGCTCTGGATCAGTGGTAACTGCTTGTGTCTGAGTTGGTAATGTCTTTGTTTTGACTTCTGATTTATGAAATTATATTTGTCTGTCAGAGACTCCACCCACCCCCCGGTTGGCTGTCTCTAGGTTCAGACGCTGGTTATTTCCTGCTGTGACAGCCGTGATCCTGTTGACTGTGATCATAATCCTGGGAGCTAGCAGTAAGTATGCATGTGTATTCTTGTTAATGCCATATGTGGGGACTACTGCTTTTGGGTCACTAGTAAGGCCCAACTTTTGTGAGCTTCACAAACAGTCATGTATCATGTGGTTTGTGGCTTTGATGCCTAATGACAGAAAACACGGACCTCTGAAGCGCACTTCAGCATGCTGGTGCAAATAGTTACAACATGAAAAGTCCTGCAAGATTCAGACTTATTTTCCAAATCTAATAATAACACAATAATATACTATACGTTTGGTTTACAGCTGCTAGGAATGAAAAAACAGACCACTGTGACTGCACATAAAGCTAACAGAAATGTAGTCACAGTAATACTTAGCTAAAGCTAACTCTCAGACTTTATCTTGTAGAAGACTTGAAGAAAAATTTGCTCCAACATGACAGCCAATAAGTGATGATGGTTAAAACTGTTTTCCACGTTTGCAGTTTAGGGCTGCAATTATCAGTTATATTGTCATTTATTTTCATTCCACTTTATTGTGTTGTGTTATATTGAACACATTTACTTTATTTTATTTTATTTATTTATTATTTTTTGTATATTATTGTTGTGCATTTAGATTTTACTTGACATTTATATTTATAACTTTTCTTGATAGAGCAAAAATTTAAAAAAAAACCATTACCTTTTTAGTACTTTGAGATTTTTTTCCCTTAATGTTAAAATTGTTTTTCAGTAACAAAATTTTCCAGCATTTTGGGTGAGTACATGTTATGTTGTGTTATGTTATGTTGTGTGTTATGTGTTATGTTAACATATTATGTTATGCGCACTCTGTTAAATTTCTTTGTGTTTTTGTTGTCTGCTTGTTCAGACATAAAGGTGTCAAAACACCTGTGGTCTTTGGAGCAGAGACTTTCCAACCAGAAGGACGTCTTCCAGTCGCTGCATTCCTCAGTGCCTCAGGTTCAAGGTAACACACCTATTAGCTATGATAAAATATTAAAAGTAGGTTACCCTTCTGCTCTGATGGCTCCCTAGTGATTCTGAGCACATAGCCCACACAAATATTTGTTTTATGTTAAATGTTGGCAATAGTTTTCTGCGGAGCTGTGAGGCCCAGGGTTCACTTCATAGCAGTAAATACAAAAGACATCATTTGATGGTAGTAAATGTCTTAACCCTTTCATGCCCCTCTATCATGTTGATACAGAGGTATGGATTTTTCAGAATGTTCAATAAGTATTCCACTTTTAGTCAAAGGAGCTTGCAAAGAAAAGCGTCTGGACTTCTTTAAGTTGCTTGAAGACGTTTCACCTCTCAGAGCTTCATTCTAAGGTCAAATGGTGGAGAGTCCCAGATATAAACCTAGTGGGAGTTTCCCCCCACAGAGGGACAAAAGGACCCCCTGATGATCCTCTAATCGCCTGAGCCAAGGTGTGAAACTGGGTGTGGGTCCCAATCAGCTAGAGTTTCGGGTGTGTTCATTGTGAAACCTGGCCCCACCTTATCATGTGATTTCCTGAGGTCAGATGGCCCAGGATGTGAGTGGGCGTTAAGGTGTCTGGGAAGGGATCTCAAAACTGGATTATAGATGGCAGACAGTTGGTGTCGTAAACCCCCGCCTCTGTTCAAAGATGGTCGCTCACAGTGGACATAGATACTTCTTTCACTCCTCTTTCAAACCATCTGTCCTCTCTGTCCAAAATGTGAACATTGGCATCCTCGAAAGAGTGTCCTTTATCCTTAAGATGCAGATGGACTGCTGAGTCTTGTCCCGTGTAGGTGGCTCTTCTGTGTTGTGCCATGCGCTTGTGAAGTGGCTGTTTGGTCTCTCCAATGTAGAGGTCTGGGCATTCTTCGCTGCACTGTACAGCATACACCACATTGTTAAGTTTGTGTTTTGGCGTTTTGTCTTTCGGGTGAACCAGTTTCTGTCTGAGTGTGTTGCTGGGTCTGAAATGCACTGGGATGTCATGCTTGGAGAAAACTCTCCTGAGTTTCTCTGATACACCGGCTACATAGGGGATGACAATGTTGTTGCGTCTGTCCTTCTTATCCTCCCTCGCTGGTGTCTGGTCTTCTTTTCTGTGCCTCTTTGCTGACTTTAAGAACGCCCATTTAGGATAGCCGCACGTTTTGAGTGCTTCCTTTACATGTGTGTGTTCCTTCTTTTTTCCTTCAGGCTTAGAGGGAACATGTTCTGCCCGGTGGTGTAGGGTCCTAATTACTCCAAGTTTGTGTTCCAAAGGGTGACCTTAGAACTGAAGAAGCTTCTCGGATGAGAGGTGAAACGTCTTCAAGCAACTTAAAGAAGTCCAGACGCTTTTCTTTGCAAGCTCCTTTGACTACGCTGACCTGGATGACTGAGAACCTTCACAGACCTATTCCACTTTTAAAATCATTTTCTGTCAGTTTTTATTTCACGGTTCAGACTTTGCAGGGTTGAACACGATGGTTTTTTTTTATTTGTTTGTTTGTTTTTGTTCAGACGTAAACACGTCAAATCGTCTATCGTTTGTGGAGCAGAGAGTTTTCAACCTGATTGATGTCATCCAATTACTGAATGACTCACTGAAGCATATTCAAGGTAACAACATGTATGTATGTATGTATGATCAGAGCAAATTTGACAACACATGAAAACATAAAACTAGTAACACTAGGAAATGAGGAGCACTGAACTAAGAATGATAGAAACCAGATAAACCAGAGAAACTTGCAGCACTTTGGGTGGTTGCAGCACACAACAACAGACAGAGGGAAACACAGGGCTTAAATACACAAGGGACCAACGAGGGAACACGAAACAGGAGGGAAACACAGCTGGGACTAATCTGAGATAATGAGATGGGAAGGAAGCAAAACTGAATGAACTGAAATTTTCAAAGTAAAACAGGAAACATGAGACCTTCACAAAGACTCAAACTTAACACTGTGACATGGGCTGTATCCCAATTCAGGTTCTGCAGCCTTAAAGTACGCAGTCTCAACGATCCTCAAGGGCCGCGTACTTAAAGACCGCTAAGGCCGGAAGTGCGAGGCTTGTGAAATGGGACGGTCTAGCCTCCGTTGCGCTGCCCAGGTTGCCTAGCAACCATGATACTAACAGCTAGAAACGTTTCATAAAGCATTGTGTGACAGAAATGAAGGAGAAAATCTTTTGTTCATTTGTTTGCTTCTTTCTACATGAGCTTTGATCATTCTCTGTAAGATTAAGCTCAGCTATTGAACGGTGTATATTTTAAAGCAAAGGCTTTAAAACCAAGTTAGTACAAACGTCATTAATGTCACATAACTTTGCCGACATGTGGCCAACAGTAATGTTTTAATGTTCTTCGTTATTAAACATTTGCACATAAATAAGTGACATAATATTCAGTACTTTTAAAAGTTTACTCTTCAGGCGCCCCTCATGTCATGGTCCTGGGTCGTGCGACCCAGTGTTTTGTGTTTAACCTAATTTTGATGATTATCGTTTATGGTTTGTTTAGGTTCACTAGGTAGTCCAGCCAGTTGTATATATTAAGTCTCCCTTGCCCTTCGTGTGTTTATGTCTGTGTGTCTTGTATTGTCAAGGTCATGCTGTCAGTTATGTCATCTTCCCTGTACTACGTCTCCCCGGGTCATGTGTCATGTCTAATCTGCATGTTTCCTGTTTTACTTTGAAAGCCTGTATTCACTGTCAGTGTATTCAGTTGCACCCTCCTGTCCTGTCGTTAGGTTCATGTGTGTCAGCTGTGTTCCCATGTGTGGCCACTTCCCCTGATCATCCCTCATGTGTATTTAGTCTCTGTGTTTCATACAGTCTGTGTCGCGTCGTCTGTGTTCCCACCCCCTGTGTTCCGTATCTCCAGCCATAGCCTTTCCATAGTTTATATCCAGTTTAGGTTTCTGTTGAGTTATACTCTTATGCTGCCCTCACTCTGGTTTGTTCCTTTTCATCAGTCATAATAAAAGGCTCGCTTTTGTATAATCCACTCCTGTATCTTCGCTTGTGTTCGCACCTGGGTCCACCACACACATTTCCGCACGGTCTGCCTCCGCAGATCATGACACCTCATCGTTTTTTTTCGGCAAAATTATCCACACCCACCGCCACGCTATGCATTCTGGGATATGTTGGGCCACGAAGTCTACACTGCCACAGCCTTAAAATTCAGGGAAATGAAGGACGCATTTCAGGGTCGCATTTCGAGCAGCCTTCGAATTGGGACAGCCTTCGGCGCGCCGATGTGACGTAATCGGCCTTGAAATGCGGCCTTTAAGGCTGCAGACCCTGAATTGGGATACAGCCATGGAGACATGACTGACCAGCGGAACAGAGGGAACATGAAACACGGAGACAAAGTAACTAAATATGGAACACGGGGAAGGCAACTAGAAACTAGCACCTAAAAGCAAAGGAGAGCCAAAAACATGAAAAACAATAAACCAAAGAATATAAGTTAAACCAGAATTACACAAACTGGTTCACAGACCAGACCTGTGAGGTTAAACTTAATGGGGGTTTTAAAATGTATTTTCTACTTTCTGCTTGTTCAGACACAGACACATCTAATCGTCTATTATCTGTGGAGCAGAGAGTTTCCAGCCTGACTGACGCCACCCAATTACTGAGCGACTCACTGCGGCATACTGAAGGTAACACACCTATTAGTTAAACTTCACATTAGTATTCCTTCATTTGCTGTGGAAAAAAGGGAAAAGAAAACAAAGGAAAAAAACAAAATTCAATGGTGAGTAATTGGACAACAGTTTTCAGGGTACAGACGCCTCAAATTATGTAAAAGACTAAGTTGTGCAATTCATCCATCATAAGTTTAAGCTACTTTTTGTCATTATTTTAAAGAAGAACTTTCACCACTCTGGGGCTGTTAATTTTATTTATTTATTTATTTATTTTTATCAATGAGGATTTATCAATATGATTAATGTGCTCTTAATAACGCACCTAGTTAAATTATGAATATATTGACTTACTGTGTTATAAAACATTTATAATAACTTCTACTGGACCACCTTTCGGTACATAAAAACATACCATATTGCAAAGAATATGGCAGTGGTGTATGTCAGCTGTAGATTGGTGTTTGGACACGAAGTTATAGAAGTTGTTTCTTCAATTTTTTCGTGGCTCCAGTTAATTTGCATTGTTTTACACGTCGCAATTTCAATTTTCATTCCAGTATCCATGCTGCTAAAGTGCTAACATGCTAAATGCTTTTGTTTACAGAAATGGCTAATGACCTTCATCAGCTAAAGCTTGCTGTTGGCAACAACAAGGATCAGCTGACCTCAGGTCTGTCTGTATTACTGCACTTTCTTCTGCTGGTGATAACTTCATACGTCACTAACTGGTGTTTGTGTTCAGTGACCAAGACCCTGAAGAAGTTGTCGGTCATCGACTCTCTCAGTAAGAGTGTTGCTGCCATCAAATGTACCATCAAACTCATCCTCAACAACAGTACGTTCACTCATATTTGGCCATATCAGGAAAATGCACATCTGCACACTGCCCACATCTGTGTATCTGTCTGTATCAATCAGGTTCAGATGCAGGAGACTGTTGTCCTGTGGGTTGGACTGGGTTTGAGTCCAGCTGTTACTTCTTCAGCAGTGAGTCTCAGTCCTGGAACGAGTCCAGAGACTGGTGTGAAACACAGCAAGCCCATTTGATCATTCTCCAAACTGACAAGCAGTGGGTAAGACAGTTCGTGGTAGTTTTAAGTGCCTGAGTTAAAGAAATGCAGACTTCTGTTTAGGTTGGTGAAGATGGTTCACCTCTGATTAGAGAAGCATATTCAGCGGAAAAAGATGAAGGGGACTCACATATTTAACCTTCTTGTAAAATACTATCACACGTTTCTTTATTGCTTTACTAAAAATCTACTCAACAGTTGCCCCAAAGCAAAAGTTAAGAACTACAAACTTTATTTACTATACACCCTTTGCTTTACACACACTCATGCTGCCCTGAGGATGAGACCTGCTGACCAAGCTATAAATCATCCTGAGTGATTTTCTTCAACAGCATTCTTTCTTTTTGTTTAGGACTTTGTGATCAATCAAACAATCCCTCAGTATTTCTGGGTCGGTTTGTCTGACTGGAGAACTGGGAGTTGGGAGTGGGTGGATCAGACACTGTACACTGTGGAGCGCAGGTCTGTCTCAGTCCACTCTTGTCTCAAAGCAAAACATGCACTAGTTTCAAAATGTTTTGCTTTTTATCAAGATTTGTTATATTACCTAATATATATTACCTACCTGTGTGTGTGTGTGCGTGTGTGTGTGTGTGTGTGCGTGTGTGTGTGTGTGCGTGTGTGTGTGCGTGCGTGTGTGTGTGTGTGTTTCAAGGCGGTGGAAACCTGGGCAGCCCGACAACTGGGCCCATCATGGTCATGGGCCTGGGAATGAAGACTGTGCTCACCTTCACAATGATGGACGCCTGAACGACCAGCACTGCTCCATCAAAGAACGCTTCATCTGTCAGAAAGACAACCTGAGAGTCTGAACACACCTGCAGGCCTGACTCCGCCCACTTCAGATTATAAGGAACCTCTCCAATTAAAGCACTGGATAGAAAAACAATTAATAAATACAACATAGCCTATTTAGAAACGCTCCACTTATCCAGTACAAACATACTTCAGACCACCTGTCAACTGTCAAAATTCAACTTTTAGAATTTAAGAGGTCCAGTCTTAGAACATTTCCTCAAATTTCCAGACTATGATAAAGTTCTACATTATTGTCAGAGGGGAACGCTAAACATTGGAGTTGTAGCCAGAATTCAGTTTATTTGCTTTAAGCTTCAAAATAATCCTAATACCTTGAAAACCCAAATAAATGAAGATCAGACTCTGGCTCATGTTGACAAAAGCCACATAATGTACATAATGAAACATCCCAAATGTTCTTTAGTAGACATGTAGCTGTGCATTCACTTTCACTGTGAACATGAAGAGATGTCAGATGTGCTTTGTTCCATACAGGCATCCAATGAATCCTCCTATTGATCTTTTATATTGTTTCTCTAAAACACAAATGACATTCATTGAATCTTGCGATCATGATATTTTGTAAATCACACCTCATTTGTTTATATTTTTCTAGTATGGTGGATAACAGGTGCAATTGATTGAAACGTGTCAGGGAGGAAAGTGCAAGATCTCTAAGATGTGTTGCAGTGAGAAGTCATGACATACAATAAAAATGAGAACAAATCTGTGTCTGTCACTGCTTCTTTATCTTTATTGCCACCGCCACTCAGAAAATATTTGAATGATTATCTGTGAAATCTTTTTCATTGTCTTTTTGTTGCTTCTGTTGAGCCGTCGCTTCTTCAAAAAGTCAAAGTCAGCTTTATTGTCAAAGACCATATCTACAGATCATACACAGGAATTTAAAATTGCAATGCTCCCATGGCCCTCAGTATACACTCAAACAATATAAAGATGAAAATAAAATAAAATAAAATAAAAGTATACAAAACAATACAATACTGAACAATTATATAAACAGCAGTGTCCAACACAATCATAGCGATTGTGGCAAGTTTGTGCGAAAGTAGGCGTGGGGCGGTCAGTGAAATAGCAATGGTGGTGGTTCAGAATTTTGTATGTCTGGGGGGGTTCAGACTTGTAATGCATTTCACTTGTAATGCAGAGGACTTTCTGGTTTTGCACTCCGTACTCACCTGGACCTCTGCCTTCCCCCTCCAAGCAATCTCCACCTGCAAGCACGTAAGGCAGCTCAAGGAAATTACTCTTGGATTAACTCGCAACTCTCTTTTGGGTCCCACTGATTGTCCTCTCCTCTGTTTCAGTGCCCTGGCTAGCCATAGTTTCCCCCGACCAGTCTCTGCACCCAGTCGTCACAGTGAATTTGTCTTAATTTAACTACAGTCTTAGTCTCCTCTTCCTCAGACGTATAGTTTATGTTTCTTCTAAATAATAGTCTTCAGTTGCTAACAAGCGTTGTGAATAAAAATTCTTTTGGTGCACCGCACTTCAAGCCTCTGGTTTTGCATCTGCACTTGAGTCCATCCCATTTCCACGGGCCACTGTGCCGTTACAGATGTTCTGGACGGAGGGAAGAGAAGTACCCACGATCTTCTCCACTGCTCTCTCTACCTGCTGCACTGGGTCCTGTATGGCTCCTGCAGGACCCAGTGCAGGAGCCATACCACACGGTGATGCAGCTGGTGATGATACTCTCAACGGTACCTCTGTGCCTCTTTTACTCAAGCATCTGAAATTATTCAGGTATTTTCAGATGTTTGTCCTTTTTTCCATGAAAGTTTAGTTCTTTGTAGTTGTTGATGTAGGTCATCTCAGTGTAGTAATCAGCTAACACACACACACACACACACACACACACACACACACACACACACACACACACACACACACACACACACACACACACACAGGTGGTGTTTTCCAGTGCAAAGTGCAGCTCGTGGCCAATGACCTGAGCCTCTGTGTTTGGACAGTTCGCCTGTTTGTTCATTGGGGACTGGATGAAGACGAAGTCAGACGCACGCCATTTCACACAGAGACAGACCCAGAGACCAGAATCGCCATGACAACTGAATACCATGACAATGTGGACGAAGGAATGAGCAATTTCTGGAACAAAGGTGTCTGTCTGTGTGTCCACCTGTCTGTGCGTCCACTTGTCTGTGCGTCCACCTGTCTGTGCGTCCACCTGTCTGTGCGTCCACCTGTCTGTGCGTCCACCTGTCTGTGCGTCCACCTGTCTGTGCATCCACCTGTCTGTGTGTCCACCTGTCTGTGCATCCACCTGTCTGTGTGTCCACCTGTCTGTGTGTCCACCTGTCTGTGCATTCTGTAAAATGAAAAACTCATGTCCTATTTGTCCGCAGAGCCTCGTACTGTCGATTTCTCCAGGTTCTCCAGGTACAGACGATGGCTCTTTCCTGCTCTGACGGCTACACTCCTCCTGATTCTGATCATAGCTCTGGGAGCCAGCAGTGAGTACACTCAGGACACAATAGGGCCAATAGGGTCACTATTTATCAAAATAGACACCTAAAACACAAGTGTGTAGATTTTCCTGTCTGGCCTGCAGTGCTGTTTATCCTTTTGGATTTTTCCAAGTGTGAGCTGCCCACTTTAGGAGATATTGACTTTAGAGGTGTCTGGCTTCACTTCAGCCACAATATAGTGAAATGATGCTCAGGTTGTTGCTCTGAAGGTGTAAAACATACATTAGTTTGTGGGCAGTGACTGACCCCAAACCAGCATTTTCTTGTTTCTTTCATGAAACTCTTTTCTGTGTATTGTCTACCTTAATCAACCAAAAGACTGGAAACTTTCTCTCTCAGGAACTTTGTTCTCAGCTAGTTGACACTTTCCTCCTGACTGTTGCAGGGATGTGCAGAGATGTTTAAAAGGGCGAATACTCAAAGTTAAAAATCAGCATGAATAACAACAACCCACATTCATCAACAAACTAATATTGAATCACATCATACTATGTCACTGTCATCAGGTGGGGACAAGGCGTAGCCTATGTTTACCTGATGGGTACAGTGTTGCTGTTGAGGGTTTGCTGCTGCTCCTGATCTGAGACTGTAGACATTAGAAAGTCCATAGGAGAGATGGTAGCTGATTAAACAAGTGTTATGAGATAATGCAAAGTGCAAAGATTGATGACAGCACTCAGAACCATAAGGCAACAAAACTGTGAGAAATAAATTAGACTCTGCTTGTGAATCACTCTTTGCCTCTCTTCCTCCTTCATCTCCTCATCTCATCTATCACTGTCCACTTTCTGTCCATCTGAGAACAAGGCACAACCTGCTATTGAGTCAAACTATTATTTAATTATCAACATTTAAACTCTTGCACCTAATCCATAATAAAGTAATGATATAAAAATGTTATAGAACCAGAACATTGTGTTTATTATTGTTTTTATACTTGAATACCTCTGTAATGCAAAACCTGCAGAGGTATTCAATGCAAAAAAGAGCACAGTTATTGTGACTGTGCTCTTTGTGATCCAGCTGCTGAGGGATCCACTGCCTTTAGTTTCACACAGCTCCTACTGTTTCCTCTCTCTCTCTCTCTCTCATATATATATATATATATATATATATATATAGAGAGAGAGAGAGAGAGAGATACATATATAAATGCCAGTATCCAGGAGAAAAAATATGAAGTACTTCTTGTTGGTAATGATTTGAGGAAAATAGTCATTTATTTATAAAAAAAAAAATTTATGTCTGTGTGTTTACAGACACATCGACATGGAACCGGTTGTGGTCCTCGGAGAAAAGTGTTTCTAATCTGACTGAATCACTGAGGGACACACAGCAGCTCACCAAAGGTAGCTCAGATGTACCCATACTGCGTTACTCAATTGCTGTCCTTTCTACTTAACACTCTGTAATTTCCTGTTTTTCTGCAATAGATACAGCAAAAGAAGTTTTGTCAATGAAGTTTGCTCTGGAGAACAGCAAGGACCAGCTGGCATCAGGTGGAAACTCTGCAAAGCAACATTTCATATCCATAAACACCAAAAAGTACTTTTATTAACACTGTGCATACCTGTGCTTTGTGTGTGCAATTCCTCAGTATCAGAGGCACTGAGGCAGCTCTCAGCTCTGGACGCTCTCCGCAGGACGGTCGCTGAACTAAAATGTTCTTTAGAACGCTTGGTCAACAACGGTACACAGCTCCTGTCTAATCCTGTTCCCTCTGTGTCATTTAACAAGGTTGTTCTCATAGTTTCAAGCTTGTGCAACACCTTTACTAGAGAAGAAACCTGTGTATGAATGGCAGTGTCATCGGCATAGACGTACATTTTGCTTTCTAGGTTTTGCAAAGTTGTTCCTTCCTTCACAATAGTCCCCCCCATAAGCATCTTATCTCTGAGTCTGAGGCATCTGATGAGCTCAGACTAACTTCAGACACCTGCAGGCATTACTGGAAGGTTTAAACAGGTTCTTGAAGCTAAAAAAGAAAAGAAAAATTCATGTTTCTTTGTATAAACTGTAACAAGCTAAGGCAGAAAGGTTTTGTCTCTCTGGGGGGAGCGAGGTCTTATGAGGAAATTAGTAACTAAATCGTGTTATTTCCTAATTTAAGATTTGTATTAAGCTCTCCAATTGTTCCATTTGTTTATTATATTTATTTGTTATTATTTGTTTGGCCTTATTTTATTTTAGAATTTTCTTAACCATGTGATTGTGTGCTTTCGTCCACTGATCTCTTTTGAAAAGGATGATGTTAATCTCATCATATTTCTTGACTAAAAATATGTTTTTCTAAAACTAGTTCTCACAGCGACTGTCTAACATCTCCTAGGACTGTCCCCTGTTAAAGAAGGTCTCCAATATCTAAAAGTGTATTTTTGAAATGACTCTTATAAAACATGGAAACCAGACACTCTCTGTCTGTCCGTCTGTCAGGCACAACAGCACACGGCTGTTGTCCTCTGAATTGGGATTCTTTCGGCACCAACTGCTACTTATTCAGTACCACGCCATTATCGTGGCACGATGCCAGAGACTGGTGTAATGGACACGAATCTCACTTGGTCATTCTTCTCACTGACGAGGAGTGGGTGAGTTGGCTGGCCCTCTCATCTGTTTGCACTGACGCTCAACTTTGTGATGCATCTTAAACACACTGTCACCTCAACAGGAGCTCTTTTGTGATGAGCTAATCAATAAAAGCCGAACTATAGCTCATGTATGTGACTGGGGGAGGAGCCTGTATTGATCAAAGGATCAATACAGGCTCCTCCCCTTTCCCCCTTTTTTATTGAAACTGAAAATTTGAGTTTTCTCTCCGTCTGCCTTTAACAGGATTTTGTGATCCAGCGTAGCGCGGGCTCCTTCCACTGGGTGGGTCTGACTGATGAGAGGACTGGGCAGTGGGAGTGGGTCAACCAGACACCCTACATCATGAACCGGAGGTAAGCTGTTACACTTAAAAAAAAAAACCCAAAAAAACGCTAATGGTATACATGCGAGAAAATGAGGCGTTGTGTTTTTTGTTCTAAGTTCTAAGAGAACTTTTAGTGCTCCATAAGGCAGTGTTCTCTAACCTTTTGGAGCCATGGCACAGATTTCACATTATAAAACTCACAGCGCACCACCAAACAAATGTCACAAAAAAGATATTGATACATTTTCCTTGAGGACCAAGCATCGCGGAATTGGCTCGGTTTGTCCCCAGTATACCTTTTTTGCTTTCTTCTGATCAGTGCTCATGTTGTTGTTGTTGTTTTGTTTGTTTTTTAAAAATTGGGCATAGTTCTAATAGTTATTCTTGTTCATTTATAAACAGTTTTAGAAATAAAATAAATTTCTAAAAACATGAAATGTCATGAATCAATAATATCAGGACGGCATCAACAACATTTTCTATTTACATTAACGGCTTACCCTGTGTCAAAAAGTCATCACTCTCAGATATAGAGGTCACAGGTACTTGGTGGACCACAGGGGAAACAATAGAGTTTATGGAGTCAAACAGTATTTGGAATTTCTCTTGCTTGATTAGATGAGAAAATTTTCCTGATCTGGCTGTTTTTATGGTTTCATATATGGAAACCCAAAGTTCCCTAAGGTGGAGCCTGTGAACTTCGAGTTTAGTTGATTTCCAAAGGCGTTCTACTTTCCTACAGATTCTTTCAACCTTCATTACATCATCATTTATCCATGGATGAGCTCTTTTTGAGGCAGCAAAGACAGATTTCATAGGTGCCATCGAATTTAAACTCTCCAAGCAGTGATTCTTAAAACACTGTGTAGCAACATCAGCATCAGTGCAGCCACTGATCACATGAGGGTCCAACAATTTAGAAAACTCCAAAGCAACATCCTGATTTATGGAACATGAAATTAGAAGGTGGTGTGTACAGAGGGAAGCTAAGACTAAAAGTAACACAGGAATGGTCACTCACTTGTACGTCCTTAACACAGTTGTGTCTAAGCCAAGAGAAAACACAAGGTCCAAGGTGTGGCCTTTAACATGGGTGGGTCCAGAGACATGCTGAATAAAATTAAAAGAGTCTGTAATGGATAGAAAGTGAGAGGCCATGCTACAGCTAAGATCATCCACGTGGAGGTTTAATCCCCAAACATTAAGACCATCTCCAGTTTAATAATGGAAGATAAAAAGTCGGTAAAATCTTGAATAAAAACACCAGCGGGGCCGGGAGGGCGGTAAATTAAAACACAATTAAATATATCTGTTGTACCAACCTTAGGAGTTGTGACTCAAAGGAAGGGAAAAACTCAGAGTCCATAGCCCTGCAAGTGAAATTGTCTCGGTGAACAGTGACCAGACCACCACCACGTCCAAACGCGGAGTCCAAATGAAGCGACAGCCGACCAGACAGAGCTCATTCAGGTGGATACATTCATTCTCCTGCTGCCAAGATTCTGTGAGAAACAGGAAGTCCATACTAATACTGCTAAAAAAGTCATTCAGTGCAAATGATTTGTTGGCTATGGAGCGAGCATTTAGGAGAGCGATCTGAAGCAGAGGTTACAGGCTGACATCATCAACAGCTGATTGACAGCAGTCACCTGGAATGAGGACGTAGTCTCCCGGTACCCCTGATTGTGACAATATTCATTGCGGGACAATGATTTTTAAAGAATACTAATTGTAGTATGAATAGATTTAATAGACATTTTACGTAGACTCACCACTGCCTAAATAGAACAGACTGGCAGTATTCATTCCCATCATCACCAAGTGTTTGCAGAGGCTGCTCAAAAAATCAATATTAGCTTAAGGAAACAAAGACGTGCTTTTTTCCACTAACTATCAAAGAGTATGAAGTGGAGAGGATGTCCTGATTTATGTTTATGAGGACCTCACATGGTCTTTTTAAAGGCACCTACAAAGAGTATGTCACAAATAGTACGCAAAGGACAAAAGGAAAAGTGTCCAGAGAGCCATAATCATGGAAAATCATCAGACATCAGCATTAAGCGGCATCTTCAGGACTAACCCTTCCTCGTCAGCTGTTCTCGCTGCGGACATCTGAAAGTCTTTCTGCAGGACTGACTGCAACTCCTCAAATGAGCAGATGATCTATTAGCTGTTTGACAACTACTCTTTCAAGGAAGAGTAGAGGAAGGTTGGAGATTGGCCTATAATTAGCTAAGACAGCTGGGTCTAGGGATGGCTTTTTAAGTAAAGGTTTAACTACAGCCAGCCTGTGGTACATAGCGATTATTATTAGGACCTTCATAGTCCAGACCTCCAGGCAGGAAAAAACATCCTCTTCATTTTGTTACTGAACTGAAGTCCCAGAAAACCTCAGGCGCTTCATGTCACATCTACATTATTATAATCTCAGGGGTACACCACTAACGATTATATTTACATTATACTGGTCATACTTTTATGTGTGTTTGGGGATAACTGTACCTAACTGCACGATTGCACAAGTGTTTGAGGATTGGGAGTGGGTGGATGAGCGGAGCCCAGGTTTGTTTCAGTATGCTCTTGTCCCAAAGCAAACGTGCACTAGTTACAAAATGACTTTGGTTTTTTCAAAATTTGTTTTTATTGCCTAAACCTAATATAAAGTTTTAAATGCCTACATATAACCAAGAGGTTTCATATCCTAAATCAAAGTCTAAAACGTTTGTCCAGAAACGGTAACCAGTAGACCAGTAGAGCATAAAGAGGAATTATTATCAGTCAGTGCTCCACAGGAATTACACATAAACATCTTTGTGCATGTTTTTCAAGGCGGTGGAAACCTGGGCAGCCCGACAACTGGGCCCATCATGGTCTAGGACCTGGGAATGAAGACTGTGCTCACCTTCACAATGATGGACGCCTGAACGACCGGCACTGCTCCATCAAAGAACGCTTCATCTGTCAGAAAGACAACCTGAGAGTCTGAACACACCTGCAGGCCTGACTCCGCCCACTGCAGAATAAAAGGAACCTCTCCAATTAAAGCACTGGGTAGAAAAACAATGAGAACTTCTAATACAATCAGGAAATTCCACTCTGTGGACTTCCTCTTTCATGTAGAGTTCTTTCAAAATCTTCCAGAATTAATAAATGCAACATAGCATATTTAGAAACAGTCCACGTATCCTATACAAACACACTTCAGACCATCTCTACATCTCTCATTGTAAAGCCTATTCTTTTTTTTTTTTTAAATCAATTTTAAAATTTAAGAGGTCCAGTCTTAGAACATTTCCTCAAATTTCCAGACTATGATAAAGTTCTACATTATTGTCAGAGGGGAACGCTAAACATTGGAGTTGTAGCCAGAATTCAGTTTATTTGCTTTAAGCTTCAAAATAATCCTAATACATTGAAAACCCAAATAAATGAAGATCAGACTCTTGCTCATGTTGACAGAAGCCACATAATGTACATAATGAAACATCCCAAATGTTCTTTAGTAGACATGTAGCTGTGCATTCACTTTCACTGTGAACATGAAGAGATGTCAGATGTACTTTGTTCCATACAGGCATCCAATGAATCCTCCTATTGATCTTTTATATTGTTTCTCTAAAACATAAATCACATTCATTGAACCTTGCGATCATGTTATTTTGTAAATCACACCTCATTTGTTTATATTTTTCCAGTATGGTGGATAACAGATGCAGCAGTTGATTGAACAGTGTCAGGGAGGAAAGTGTAAGATCTCTAACCGCTGACTGACATGTTGAAGTCAGACATTATGACACACATTAAAATAATTGAAAACAAATCTGTGTCTGTCACTGCTGCTTCTTTACCTTTATTGCCACTGCAACTCAAAAACATTTTAATGATTATCTGTTCATCCGTCACTTTTCCTATTAGTCTGTTTGCAGCTCCAGACTCAGGTATTTTCAGATGTTTGTCCTTTTTTCCATGAAAGTTTAGTTCTTTGTAGTTGTTGATGTAGGTCATCTCAGTGTAGTAATCAGCTAACACACACACACACACACACACACACACACACACACACACACACAGGTGGTGTTTTCCAGTGCAAAGTGCAGCTCGTGGCCAATGACCTGAGCCTCTGTGTTTGGACAGTTCGCCTGTTTGTTCATTGGGGACTGGATGAAGACGAAGTCAGACGCACGCCATTTCACACAGAGACAGACCCAGAGACCAGAATCGCCATGACGACTGAATACCATGACAATGTGGACGAAGAAATGAGCAATTTCTGGAACAAAGGTGCCTGTCTGTGTCCACCTGTCTGTGTGTCCACTTGTCTGTGCATTCTATAAAATGAAAAACTCATGTCCTATTTGTGTGTCCGCAGAGCCTCGTACTGTCGATTTCTCCAGGTTCTCCAGGTACAGACGATGGCTCTTTCCTGCTCTGACGGCTACTCTCCTCGTCATTCTGATCATAGCTCTGGGAGCCAGCAGTGAGTACACTCAGGACACAATAGGGTCACTATTCATTAAAATAGACACCTAAAACACAAGTGTGTAGATTTTCCTGTCTGGCCTGCAGTGCTGTTTATCCTTTTGGATTTTTCCAAGTGTGAGCTGCCCACTTTAGGAGATATTGACTTTAGAGGTGTCTGGCTTCACTTCAGCCACAATATAGTGAAATGATGCTCAGGTTGTTGCTCTGAAGGTGTAAAACATTAATTTGTGGGCAGTGACTGACCCAGCATGTTCTTGTTTCTTTCTTGAAACTCTTTTCTGTCTACTGTCTTCCTCTATCAACCAAAAGAGGTGTGTTTTTATCTACACAGTCGTCATTTTCCATCCTAATGACCGGAAACTTTCTCTCAGGAACTTTGTTCTCAGATACTTGACAGTTTCCTTCTGACTGTTGTCGCCTCTGCTGTTTAAATCCATACAAAATTAGGAGTCTGTTAGGCTAAGATGCTATGCTAATCCAGAAGACAGATAGCAATCTAATGTTTCACTCACATTTCCTTGATTTATTCTTTATTGATAATGATTTATATAAGGTCATGCATACTTCAGTTGTTCATCTTGATTGTAAAGTGCTTTATGACTCAGCTGGAGGTCCAGTTGATCAGAACACCATTGCACAGATTTTAACTGGCACCAACAAATATAAAAACATTTTTCTCGTACTGCCAAATTCTGAAGTTGAAATATTGCTAACTGATTTTAAAGCATTCAATGACCTTGCTCAAGGGAGACTCATATTAATGCATGTGCCTATGTGTTTACTTAGAACAGTGAATGGAGCACTGCTGGTTATCCCAAGGTCTCAGCTAAGTTACTGGGCCTTTTGCTGAGAGAGCTCCCAAACTGGGTTACAGTCAGCCCATTGAGGTCAGAATAGAGATCCAGCTGTGTAATTATAAACTACTGCATTATATAAACATGAAATCTGTGTGGAACAGCTGACCCGTATGATGTGTAGAAGACCACAAAACATTTGTTATTGAAGATACAGTTACCGTGCCATATCAACAAAACAATGACCTTTAAAAAAAAACTTCAGAAAGTCTGGAGAACAATAGTTCAAGCTTTTTAAAAGATTACAAAAAGGCTGGCTCCGTGGAGGCAAAAGATAAAGAAAGCAATGGTGCATAATGTGTGCTGCGCCATAAACAGTTAAGCAGATGTAAATAATGAGATCACAAAATAAGGTGAACAACAACAGTAAGTACTTTTATGTAATGGTGAGAATATAGACAAAGATCCTATGAAAAAATGATTAAGTATTTATTTTCGGTAATGATTTGAAGAAAATAATAATTATTTTATCTTTTTTTTTTTATGTCTGTGTGTTTACAGACACATCGACATGGAACCGGTTGTGGTCCTCGGAGAAAAGTGTTTCTAATCTGACTGAATCACTGAGGGACACACAGCAGCTCACCAAAGGTAGCTCAGATGTACTCATACTGTGATACCAACTGCTGGCTTTTTCGTCTTTTTCACACTTTAGTTTCCCGTCCTTCTACCACAGATACAGCAAAAGAAGTTTTGTCAATGAAGTTTGCAGTGGAGAACAACAAGGACCAGCTGGCATCAGGTGGAAACTCTGCAGAGCAACACTTTATCCACATTGACACTAGCAAGTAGTTTTATTAACATACCTGTGCTTTGTGTGTGCAATTCCTCAGTATCAGAGGCACTGAGGCAGCTCTCAGTCCTGGACGCTCTCCGCAGGACGGTCGCCGAACTCAAATGTTCTTTAGAACGCTTGGTCAACAACGGTACACAGCTCCTGTCTAATCCTGTTCCCTCTGTGTCATTTACTAAAGATGCCATCACAGTTTTAAGCTTATAGAACAGCTTTACCGTTACTAAAGAAGAAGCCTGTGTATAAATGTGCCTTGGTTCATTGGCCCCCAAGTCATTTATCTCTGAGTCTGAGGCATCTGATGAGCTCAGACTAACTTCAGACACCTGCAGGCATTACTGGAAGGTTTAAACAGGTTCTTGAAGCTAAAAACCAAAATTCATGTTTCTTTGTATAAACTGTAACAAGCTAAGGCAGAAAGGTTTTGTCTCTCTGGGGGGAGCGAGGTCTTATGAGGAAATTAGTAACTAAATCGTGTTATTTCCTAATTTAAGATTTGTATTAAGCTCTCCAATTGTTCCATTTGTTTATTATATTTATTTGTTATTATTTGTTTGGCCGTTTTTTATTTTAGAATTTTCTTAACCATGTGATTGTGTGCTTTCATCCACTGATCTTTTTTGAAAAGGATGATGTTAATCTCATCATATTTCTTCACCAAAAATATGTTTTTCCTAAAACTAGTTCTCACAGCGACTGTCTAACATCTCCTAGGACTGTCCCCTGTTAAAGAAGGTCTCCAATATCTAAAAGTGTATTTTTGAAATGACTCTTATAAAACATGGAAACCAGACACTCTCTGTCTGTCCGTCTGTCAGGCACGACAGCACACGGCTGTTGTCCTCTGAATTGGGATTCTTTCGGCACCAACTGCTACTTATTCAGTACCACGCCATTATCGTGGCACGATGCCAGAGACTGGTGTAATGGACACGAATCTCACTTGGTCATTCTTCTCACTGACGAGGAGTGGGTGAGTTGGCTGGCCCTCTCATCTGTTTGCACTGACGCTCAACTTTGTGATGCATCTTAAACACACTGTCACCTCAACAGGAGCTCTTTTGTGATGAGCTAATCAATAAAAGCCGAACTATAGCTCATGTATGTGACTGAAAAGGGGAGGAGCCTGTATTGAAACTGAAAATTTGAGTTTTCTCTCCGTCTGCCTTTACCAGGATTTTGTGACCCAGCGTAGCGTGGGCTCCTTCCACTGGGTGGGTCTGACTGATGAGAGGACTGGGCAGTGGGAGTGGGTCAACCAGACACCCTATATCATGAACCGGAAGTAAGCTGTTACACTTAAAAAACAACAGCTGGTATACGTGCAAGAAAATGAGGGGCTGTGTTTTTTGTAGTGCCAATTAGGAAGAGAATGTAATTGTTCTGCCCATTACTCATGCCGGTCGCTTAGACTACCAATCAGGTGGAGTCTCTGATCGATCGTTGCCACTTTACTTCCTGAATGGAAACAACGGTGTTGTATCAGTGCAAAGGCTCGCCACACACCACTCCGCACAGCACACTACGGCAGAACATCCCATTAGCATTCCGCTTTAGCATACAGTTTTACACAATAATAAACAAATGAAGAGTACATAAAACTGATGTTAGACATGTGTCCACCAAGCACTTCTTACACTCGGTGCCCATCAGCTAATCAAACATGTTTTATGTGCCTGTACTACTTAGCTATATCGTGTGCGGAACAATACAACTCACCTCTCGTATGGCTACGGCAGACTGGCAGCGATTACTGCAGCCAGCCACGCCGAGAGGGGGGGCGCTGTTTCCCCATTACACTGACATTTGTGGCAAGTGGAATAATACCACATAAACACTGTTACATTTGTTTGGGTTTTTTTTTTTTTGCTAAAGGCACCACAGTCCAAGTATGATGAACCTTTTGTTAAAAAAGATGTTTCTTTTGTTTGTTTGTTTTCTAATTGGGCATATTTCTAATCTTTATTCTTGTTCATTTTTAAACACTATTAGGTAATTAATCATGAGTAAAATATCATGAGTCAATATTATCAGGAAACCATCTGCAACATTTTCTATTTACAGTTAACCCAGAGTCATTGTGGGACAATGATTTTTAAAGAATACTAATTGTAGAATGAATAGATTTAATAGACGTTATACTCAGTCCCATCATCACCATCATTATGAGCTTCAGGAAAAACAAAGACATCCTTTTTTCCAATATCAAAAGGTATAAAGTGGCGAGGGTATCCTGCTTTATGTTTATGAGGAGTTCACGTGACCTGACATGGTCTTTTTAATTAAAGGCACCCACAAAGAGTATGTCACAAATAGTACGCAAAGGACAAAAGGAAAAGTGTCCAGAGAGCCATAATCATGGATAATCATCAGACATCAACGTTAAGCGGCATCTTCGGGACTACCACTTCCTCATCAGCTGTACTCGCTGCTGACATCTGAAAGTCTTTTTGCAGGACCTTCATAGTCCAGACCTCCAGGCAGAAAAAAACAGCCTCTTCATTTTGTTGCTGAACTGAAGTCCCAGTCCTCAGGCACTTCATGTCACATTATAATCTCAGGGGTACACCACTATTATATTTATATCATACTGGTCATGCTTATGTGTGTTTGGGGATAACTGTAACTACAAATATCCAAAACTTGATTCTGTTCATCTGGAAGTAGCGTTTTCAGTGGGAGAAACGTTGAACAGAATCAAGTTTTGGAGATTTCCTTACCTGGATGATTGAGCATGCATCAAGACATAACTATAAATAGTTATTTGGCATTATTGCGTTTTTGTTTGAGAAATTCTGTGCGCATTTTCCCATATAGTTCATTGTATGAGCTGCAAAAATGTTTATAGCGGCTGTAAAGTTGGACTTTTTACCTTGAAAATTTGTGGGAACTGAGTGATTGCTGGAACGAGCCTCAATTGGACATTAGAGGAACTGCAACTTCACGTGCTTTGAGGCTGGCTTCTCTTGTCTGTCATGGTGGTTGCAGCTCAGCTTAAGACTCACTTTTTATCATTCTTTTGTAGGAGGTGGAAACCTGGGCAGCCTGACGCCTGGACCCATCATGGTCTCGGTCCCGGGGATGAAGACTGCGCTCATCTTCATTCTGATGGACGTCTTAACGATCTGCACTGCTCCAGCAAAATGCGCTTCATCTGTCAGAGGCACACCATGAAAAACTAAACTCAGATGTGAACTGTGAGCTGACACCATTGAATAGTGTGATTACGAGCTACCAGAATGATCTCTTTCTGCTGTGCTGAGGGAAAGGTCATTAGTGCTTTGCAGTTTGTATGTTGTATCAAAATCTTGATGTATCTAATTTTCCAGAACTCCACTGGTGTCCAAAAATCTAATAAAACACATCATCAATTTCTCTGAAACCTTCCTTCATTATCCCGAACAAACCAAGAGATTAAAAGTTCTTTAAATAGTTCTTTGAATTCCTGAAAGAGTAGCCCTAAAGGAAAACTCTCCATGATCCAGATCAAGTGTTGCTTAAGCCAAGTCACTTTTGAGAATTCCTTAATTAAATGATCAGGTTCCTTAAAAAAGTTTTGAACTTGAAGTGCATTAAAAAAGCTCCCAGGATTCTATGGAATCAGAACGATGCCACCTTGAAACGAAACCGAAAAAAATATTGAAACCGAAAAAAATATTGTAACTGAAATAAATGTACTGAAAAATCTTGTATTGAAACCAAAAAAAAAATTGATAGTGAAAAAAAAAAAATTAAAACTGTAATTTTTTTGTTTTCGCTTACAATTCTTTCTTTTTTTTCGGTTTCAATCCATTTTTCAGTTTCAATCCATTTTTTTTCGGTTTCAAACCATTTTTCGGTTTCAAACCATTTTTCGGTTTCAATCCATTTTTTTCGGTTTCAAACCATTTTTCAGTTTCAATCTGCTGGCACTGTTTTGGCATCTGGGGGCGGGGCTTCCAACCCGCATGTATTTGCATACATTATAGAGGCCACTAGTGCTGACCAAGCTGCCATCTTTCTCTCTTCCCGTCTTTCAATGGCTGCTTCAATTTCAGCTTGAACCTCCAAACCGCACGTAAGTAATCATTTTTTGTCATCTTTCCTTGCTGTCCCACTGGACTGGACATTAGTTTAGTTTTTTTAGCTACATCTGGTGAAGTTGTGGTAAAATGCTAGCATTAGCCTATTCGTCGTAGCAAGCTAGCCTGAAGCTAATATTTGCTAAATTTAGGGACACCCGTGTCTCTTCAGGAGTTGGAGGCCGGTGTTCTAGGAGCGGATCTCAGGATCTCAACAGGCAGTGTTGGGCAGTAACCAGTGTTGGGTAAGTTACTTTAAAATAGTAACTTAGTTACATTACTAGTTACTTCTCTCAAAAGTAACTCAGTTACTTCAAGTTACTCGTTACTTTCAAAGTAACTAGTTACTAGGGAAAGTAACTTTGGTTTTACTCAGAATTCTCTTGTTAATGTGTTGCTTCCATAACTTTGCCAGTCTTCTAGCTTGCTTACTTGCCACAAGTGCACTGTGCCACCTGCCAATAGAAAGGAAAAGATAATGTGCATATTTCCACAAGAGAAATCCCACGCCTGGACCGTCGTTGACCACCGCCATGATTCTAGCCTACGTCACAGTGTCATGTGCGCCTTTTACATCCAACACAAAAACTGCAGTCGTGGTGCTTACGATTGTACTCAGAACTCGGAAATTCTGCCTTCTGAATAGGAAGATGTAGGCAACACCAGACTGCAGACGAGCTGCATACATGGCTGGACTGGGACAGAAAATTGGCCCGGGCATTTTGACTAGAGACCGGCCCACCATTATAGGAAAAATCATAAAGCCTTTGAATGAAAATAAACGCTGTTGTGACAGTGATGTACACTGTTCTGATGGTATATGTGCATCAATCTATCAATCGTTTGTTGTAAGATTCAGATAATTATTTTTTACAAGCTAGACATTTTAAATGAGAATAAGAAAGAAAAGTATTTCCTTGTGCCCCCCTTTCCCTGTTAATGCCCTACCTGGCCCCCTGGCAAAACTTTGCTAGACCCGCCCCTGCACAGTTACCAGCTGTCAGCTACTTAGAAAAGGATCCTGGTGTTATTTGTCTCTCAGAAACAGTTCATAACTTCCCTTCAACTCATTCATGTCACCTAAAGGGTAAACCTGTTTCTCCATCACCTGTTCAGCTCTGATGATTCAGTAAGGACATCTCCTGGTTTCATCTTCATGTTTCCCTCTCATCACATAACCAAACCATATCATGACCAGCAGCTTTACAGCTGTGACTCCAGCAAACATCAGCTGATACTAGAAATTAATATTAAATAAATTCTAACAATAGCTGATCAAGCTTAAAAGTGCTGCTGTTGTTTAGCGCGACATCCGCTGGTTTCCCGCTTTCTTGGGCCCATTCCTCCATGCAGATCTTCTCGAGAGCAGTGATGTTTTGGGGCTGTGCCAAGCAACACGGACTTTCAACTCCCGCCACAGATTTTCTATGGGGTTGAGGTCTGGAGACTGGCTAGGCCACTCCAGGACTTTCAAATGCTTCTTACGGAGCCACTCCTTTGTTGCCCGGGCGGTGTGTTTTGGATCATTGTCATGTTGGAAGACCCAGCCGCGTTTCATCTTCAAAGTTCTCACTGATGGAAGGAGGTTTTGGCTCAAAATCTCACGATACATGGCCCCATTCATTCTGTCCTTAACACGGATCAGTCGTCCTGTCCCCTTGGCAGAAAAACAGCCCCATAGCATGATGTTTCCACCCCCATGCTCACAGTAGGTATGGTGTTCTTGGGATGCAACTCAGTATTCTTCGTCCTCCAAACACGACGAGTTGAGTTTATACCAAAAAGTTCTACTTTGGTTTCATCTGACCACATGACATTCTCCCAATCCTCTGCTGTATCATCCATGTGCTCTCTGGCAAACTTCAGACGGGCCTGGACATGCACTGGCTTCAGCAGCGGAACACGTCTGGCACTGCGGGATTTGATTCCCTGCCGTTGTAGTGTGTTACTGATGGTGACCTTTGTTACTTTGGTCCCAGCTCTCTGCAGGTCATTCACCAGGTCCCCCCGTGTGGTTCTGGGATCTTTGCTCACCGTTCTCATGATCATTTTGACCCCACGGGATGAGATCTTGCGTGGAGCCCCAGATCGTGGGAGATTATCAGTGGTCTTGTATGTCTTCCATTTTCTGATGATTGCTCCCACAGTTGATTTTTTCACACCAAGCTGCTTGCCTATTGTAGATTCACTCTTCCCAGTCTGGTGCAGGTCTACAATACTTTTCCTGGTGTCCTTCGAAAGCTCTTTGGTCTTGGCCATGGCGGAGTTTGGAGTCTGACTGTTTGAGGCTGTGGACAGGTGTCTTTTATACAGATGATGAGTTCAAACAGGTGCCATTCATACAGGTAACGAGTGGGGGACAGAAAAGCGTCTTACAGAAGACGTTACAGGTCTGTGAGAGCCAGAGATTTTCCATGTTTGAGGTGACCAAATACTTATTTTCAACCCTAATTTCCGAATAAATTCTTTACAAATCCTACCATGTGGATTCATGGATTTTTCTTTCACATTCTGTCTCTCACAGTTGAAGTGTACCTCTGGTGCAAATTACTGAACTCTGTCATCATTTTAAGTGGGGGAACTTGCACAATCGGTGGCTGACTAAATACTTTTTTGCCCCACTGTATGTTAGGCTATGGTCTCTCTATTTTTGGTAATTCCACGCCGGTGGAAACCCAAACAAAACACGCAATAAGAGCCTCTAAAAATTATTATACAAAAATTATTTAATATGAAGGCAATAGCAGTGTTACAGGCATCACCCTAAACAATGTAGCCTCATGGGCAGTGTAGTACGTGCTGCAGGGAGAATGGACTGCCATACCCGTTATGTGTCTGTGAGCGAGGGAGGGAGAAAAAGGAAAAGTACGAGCTGTCACGGAGCAGAAACGGGAGCTGGAAGCATGTAAATATAATAATAACCACTAAAGCCAAAAAGAGTGCCTGACGAGCCCAGCTGTAAGTAAGCTGTTAAGACTCGACTGTACACCGTGTTCGTGTTTTCCTCCGAAACAATAAGCAGCCTTTCAACGGCTCTCTCTGTCTCTCGCTAGCAAACTTGACCCAGACAACAAAGTAAAGCTAGTTTTCAGCTACGAGCCCAACACGAACCGGACGTATCAGCCAGAGGTCCCTTTACTACGGTTCGGAGCCGCTGACCTGTTTTATATACGCGCTGAATAGTTTTCTACACGAGATCGCTGCAAAAAGTGCAGCCTTACCTAATGTCCACCTACTGTTACTCATTTATAGTAAGATTTAAACATCTAGTTGGTATTGGTATGGCGAGTAGCCTTCAGTAATAGTAATAAATCACACAGCAATAGTGCATTCATGTAGTTGTAAAGTATTCAGAATACATTACTTCTATAATCTTTGGTGGAATACATTTTAAAATTAACCTTCCCAACACTGTCAACAGGTTAGCACCTCATACCACAGTGCATCAAAGCAGTCTCATGAGCGCTGGAAAGGACGAGCCCAGAGCCCAAAACAGACAGTGCAGGAGATGACAAGGTTAGTAATTGTATGGTGAAAATTATACTTTATCTTGATTGGCAAAAGAAAAGTAAATACAAAATCTGCTTCTCACATTTAGGGCATTTCCAAGATTTTTTTTTTTTTTCAAAACTTCTTCAATTTCTTTCATTACAGCTGTCCTGTGCCAGAAGTTCTGTTGACCCACAGTGAGAGGCATCATTTCAGAAACACCAGGAAGACTGAAACTCGTCGCCAGGATCAAGCAGGGCTCGTGATCTTCACCAGCAGCTCCCTCACAAGAAGGATAAACCCAGCATTTCATGAACACTGATGGAGACCTTTGCTTTGTGTAATGTTAGAAGTACTCAGATAATCCTCAGAGGGTCTGGACTTTTACATAATAGAATAGAATAGAATTCAACTTTGTTGTCATTGCACATGCACAGGTACAGGGCAATGAAATGCAGTTTGCATCCATCCAGAAGTGCTTTAGTGATATAGGTATATTACAATATATATTAGCAATAATATAGATATGTAAGTATATTACAGAAATGGGTCTATTATGGTATGTTACAATGTACACGGTATGAAGTATGTTGAGAATATTCTATAAGTATGTACAGGCTGTAGTGAGTACAAACTATGTACAGGCTAAGAACAGGATATAAATATGAAAAACTACAGAAATCTGAGATATAAAGTTATACAGAAATGTGAACAATGCAAGTTATAAACAGTTGTAGGATTGAAAATTATCATATGTACAGAATGATTATTTACACAGAACTATACAGTAGTGCAGGTAAGTAATAGCTATAAGCTATAGTAATATCTTTAAGTCCTGTAGAAAGTTAAATATATGTTGTGCTCACTGGTTACTCTGGTATGAATGACTCTGAATTACTTTATGATAAATAACACTATTGTCAAAAAACAGTGAAAGAATTCCAGGTCACAAGTTTTTAGTTCAAATACAAGTAACAACCTTTGACTTTAATCAGGTTTTATTTAATTGTGTCAGAGAAAACATCATGTGCTCTTCATGTAGCTGAGTACATTCAGTGTTTAAAACAGAAGTTGTGCAGGTCTGAGATCAGCAGTTTTCTGAAACACCAAACTGAGGTACTGTTAATGCTGATGTACAGTGACACAGTTACAGGGGTGATTAATCCTTTTGACCTTTTGTCTTTAACTTTATCAATAAAACAGCTGCAGCTTTCACTACAGCACATGTGGTACTTTAACCTTTGTACTGTTTTCTTCAGTTAATTTTGGAGTTACTACAAAGAGTGAAGATATAGGATGATCTGTCTGCTGTCACTGGGTGGTGCTGAGGTCTGAATCTGAGGACAGCTCCTGTAATCACAAACAGAACAGAATCATTACAAACTGAAATATAAAGTTTATCTCTCAAATCTGAAATAGAGCTGATCCTTCTCCGTCCTCACACACTCGGGATCTGAAGTTGTTCAGTCCTATAGTTCTGCTAACAGCTGTTTATTTTTTTTATTTGTTTTAAAGGCTTTACTAACACATTTTCTAATATCATGTTTACCTTTGAGTTGTTGATGCTTTATAAATGGAAATCTGCAAAGATGAGATGATGGAGCAGGTTTCAGTCGAGGTTCAGTCTGCTGCTGCATCCTGGTCACAACATACAGAGGTGTTATCAGCTCAGTATTGAACAAGAAATATTAATGCTTCAAATTATTTGTCCTATAGGATGCAAGCTGTACAGAATACTGCACATGTGACTTTGTGAACATAATTCATTAAAAATAATTTGGACAGTTTTTTTAACCTGAATATTTGTAACAAACTCAGTAAAAAAAAAAAAAAAAAAAAAAAAAAGCTAAAAAATAATCAGAGGAAAAATGCAACATTTTAACTTAAGCTGACAAGCGGGAGTAGTTGGTTTCAGTACATAAGTATCGGGCTTTGCTATTTAATCCGTAGCTATTGACTAATGAGGGGAATTTAAAATTGGCGTTAATGTCCTTCCACATGTGGAAAGCGACAGAAAACATGCTGCTGTTTGCACATATTTAATAATCAGCTCTGCACAGGAGCAGAGTCCAGCCTGTTGCTCTTACAGTATAATACTCATAATAAAAGTACAGTAACCGTGGTCACTGAGCAGCCCGGTGTTCCAGATCTACTGGCGTTTAGATCAACTGGCGTTGGTCGAACAGATGTGTGGCAGTCTTGCGTTTCAGTAGCTCCTACCGACAAACCAGCAAAAAAACCGCCAAATGTGTCATCTGTGACACTTGTGAGATTGTCTCAAACACACTCCGTCAGTCTTGATGCTGTTGAACAACAAAATGTTTAAAATGTGGCGAGTTCACCTGGTGATATCCTCATGCGCGACGCGATCGCGAAAACAGCAAACAATTAACACCACGCCGATGTTGTTCACAGGACAGCAAGAGTAAACGATCGGGAGACCCTTGTCGTCGTTATCGTTCCGCTCGCACGGTTTATTTCTCCGATTTCAGCGTTTTTGCTTCACAACTACAGCGAACAGTTTACTTTGTGCACTAACATGGACTCGAGTCAACCAGCGCCACCTCTGGCCAAGTGCCACAGCCTACAGCCAGATCAACCTGTGACACACATCTGCAGCACGTTTGATTTCGTTTCTTGCACAACACATTTGTACCTTTCAGTTGTGTCTGTTTGTGCGTCATGCAAATGAACCTTTGAAAAGAATGAAATGACACCAATATTTCACTAGTGTTGTAACATCACATGTCGTTAGCGTAGTCTGTCTGTGTCTTTTCTGAGAAAAAACATTTTAGAGTTGGTTGTGATATACAGTCTGTATAAGTGTGGTTAATCTAATAAACATTTGTAAGGAGATGGCAGTTACTGTGAATGTACCGCAGGTGATTAGTAATAAACAGTCAGACAATGACTCTGACAATCTCATTCAATCTTGCAGACTGAATGCACCTTCTGTGGAAAGTGGTACCACACAGTGTGTGTGGACTTTCCCTGTGCAGAAGGCGACTACAAATGTTGTGGGTGCTAAATAAACAGTAAAAAGTGATCCCTGTTGTCTTTGCTTACTGATTGTTTTTAGTGTTGACAATCCACATTGCTGCCATTGCATCTTTCAACATGTTTGTGGGTAGATTTGAATGTACCAGGGGTAAGTGCAGCCACTCAGCCTCTACTCAATGTCATCATAGCAGCAGGTGAAGATGTGTCACAAGTTAATCTAGTAGTGGGCTATGGTATTTGGCCACAGATGGCAGCAGTGGACTGACCTCCATTTGAAACTGCTCTAGCTGCTGTGTGATAGTGGATCTGCTACAAATTGAAGATCATAAGCAAGTTTTGGAAATGAACCCTTGTATTATGTTGAAGAACAAAAAAATGACATTGATTTTGTTGTGGGTCATTTAGATCCGTACTGTGTAAATCCACTCAGAATTGTTCAAAAACTGCAATGAAACAATAGCAACTTTATTTCCCATCAGATAAACATGTAGAACACAGACATACAACAGTTAGACTTTCCATAACTATTTTAGGAACAATTTGGTTTTTCGTTCTTACAAACACATTTCTTTTGAACTTGCCCAACGTTCTCAGTTTTTCAATGCTCAACATTTTCAATTTTGTCCACATGATGGACAGAATGTAACTGTGTACTTTCTGCAGATGTACTTCTTGCATTTCTCACAATACGTGCTTGTTTTAAAACAGGAATCTTCCTAACTAAGATTTAAAACACAAGATTGCGTCTCCTCCAGTCTCACAAACAGATGACAAACCAAGCGACACACCTGAGTCACTGACTTTATATATAACTACCAACTCTCCAGCCATGTTGATGGATTGCCTATATTGGCTGGAAATATTAATTTCCAGGGAAAGGACACAGGCAGATGATGCTTACAGGATGTGATGTGACGACACTAATGAAATATCGATGTGTCATATTTGTCCAAGGTGTATTTCATTGTTATGGGAAAAGAGAATATCAAAATCATGATGACCAATTGGAGTGGTGATTTCTATGACTTTGTGTATATAATTTGGGATTTTGAACAAATGTAGGCCAATAAGGAATATATGATATCATTTCATTCATTTCAAAGGTTTATTTGCATGATTCACAGACAGACACAATTGAAAGGTACAAATGTGTTGTGCAAGAAACGAAATCAAACGTGCTGCAGATGTGTGTCACAGGTTGATCTGGCTGTAGGCTGTGGCACTTGGCCAGAGGTGGCGCTGGTTGACTCGAGTCCATGTTAGTGCACAAAGTAAACTACTCGCTGTAGTTGTGGAGCAAAAACGCTGAATTCGGTGAAATAAACCGTGCGAGGGGAACGATAACGACGACAAGAGTCTCCCGATCGTTTACTCTTGCTGTCCTGTGAACAACATCGGCGTGGTGTTAATTGTTTGCTGTTTTCGCGATCGCGTCGCGAATGAGGATATCACCAGATAAACTCGCCACATTTTAAACATTTTGTTGTTCAACAGCATCAAGACTGACGGAGTGTGTTTGAGATAACCTCACAAGTGTCACAGATGACACATTTGGCGTTTTTTTGCTGGTTTGTCGGTAGCAGCTACTGAAACGCAAGAGTGTCACACATCTGTTCGACCAACGCCAGTTGATCTAAACGCCAGTTGATCTGGAACACCGGTGCGTTTCTCTTGATTTCTTTAGTCAGGGTAAATTCATTCACCTGCACGGGTTAGCTAAACGAACTTTACAAAACAAGTTTCCCCGACAGCCGAGTGCTCATTTTAGCTAGCTAGGTCCTTAGGTAGCTAGCTAAGGACCTAAATTACGGATTATCTTACAAACACATTTAACTTACCAGAAATAATGCGGTGGGGCCTCAGGTCCTCCTGTCCGGTAGTCCAAGTTACTGAAGAACACCTCAGGCTGTCACTTTGAAATAGTCGGTAATGTAAACGCTGGACCTCTCGGCATCTGCCATTCCCAAACAGACACGTGCGAGTTTGTCCGTGACCGCAGCCGCGTCGTCAGTGTTTTCTCCAGTCATTGGTCAGCATTATAATATATGCAAATACATGCGGGTCGGAATCCCCGCCCCCCAGCGCGCCCCGGACGCCAAAACAGTGCCAGCAGATTGAAACTGAAAAATGGTTTGAAACCGAAAAATGGATTGAAACCAAAAAATGGTTTGAAACCGAAAAAATGGATTGAAACCGAAAAATGGTTTGAAACCGAAAAAATGGATTGAAACCGAAAAATGGTTTGAAACCGAAAAATGGTTTGAAACCGAAAAAATGGATTGAAACCGAAAAAATGGTTTGAAACCGAAAAAAATGGATTGAAACTGAAAAATGGATTGAAACCGAAAAATGGTTTGAAACCGAAAAAAATGGATTGAAACCGAAAAATGGTTTGAAACCGAAAAAAATGG